AGGGCACCAGAATGAGCAGGCTGAGGCAGGTGTTGAATGGGTGGTTGGTGAGCAGCAGCTCCGGGTTGTCTTGTCAAGCACTTTAGAACGGCCTTCCCCAGCCCGATGGCCTCCAGATGTTCTGGGCTACAACTTCCATTATGTCCATGGTGCTTGGGGACAATGGAGGTTTTACTCAGATGTGCTGCAGTGAACACCAGTTTGGGAAGGTTGGCTTAAAATCATGGATGGGGTTGGGGTCAAGCTTCTGCTTTCTTTTACTAGTATATTTGCTGGCCTTCCCTAACCTGGTGCCCTCCAGCTATATTGAACACACAACTGCTGTGCTAGCTGGGGATGATGGGAGATGTATTTAACATGTCTGGAGGGCACCAGGTTAGGGAAAATTGTTTTCGGGCATTCAAAACAACTGGTGGGACAATATTCATTTGCTGCTATGTCCCCTTTATACACTACATAGCCCTGGCCTGTAGGAAGTAGAAAAGCTTCATAAACTGCAGTTCTGTATTGTGCCTGTTAGGCATCCTAACAGAATGGGACTGCTCCATATTGGTGAAAATACTTGCAGCCACGGCCTAGCCGGGAGTGAAGGGATTGGTGGGGGTTTACTACCAGCCATGTATTACGCTTGTCTTTGCCCACCTCCATGTGCATGGTACAGCTACTTGCTGCCTCCTGTTTTATTAGTGACACTAGAAAGGCTGAGCTGTGAATATGTGGAGCACTGCAAGTGGTTTGTGAAACAGAGCTTATGTTTGACATCCTGTACAGTGCTATATCTACTGAATAAAGCAGGGTGCTCCATTCTTCAATGGCCTCGATACTTCTGTGGGATTGTCCATCGTCCAGAGTGTCCTACTACCTATCATCACAGTGCTTCTGCAGCATTGCCGGGTAGCTGTGTTCCCCAAGTCAACTTCTGTATGTCAGTTTGTATCCTTATATGGGCTTATGTCAACCACATTCCAATTTTGCTGAAAAGAGAGAAGCTGGTGAATCTCTCCTGGAAACAAGAGGAGCTTTCGAATTTGTTGGCTGCTTGAAGACCCGGATGCCTGTGTTGTCTCTTGAGGCTAGTTTCTGCACACAGAACACTGTTACTGCTTTTAATGTATATTGCTTGGTGTGTTAGTTTTGTTTTTAACCACAATTCTGGGTAGTGAGGGGATACAGAGTATGAGAGGGCATATAAATATGTAAGAATTGTGGCCATGACCTGTGGAGATGCTCTTGACCATGAAATATTCCTTGATCACAATTCCATTCTTAATCTGAAGAACTGATTGCCTTTTTTGAAGGAAGCTGCATTCAGGCCTGCCTAGTAGAGAAACATGCTTAGTTATGCATGAGAGTGCTTGTGGCTTTTACTATTACTGCAATTTTTCAGCTCTGGCTTTTAATTTTAGGATGCCAGGACAGGGGTATGTAAATTAAGTTGCCTATACCAAGATGAATATGGAGTTTCTGTGGGGCTTGGAAAAGGGGGGTGGTGGCTATATGTGTTAGGTCTTGTTTTTCTAATTTGTGTAACAAGAAGTGAAGATCACTGCTTCTTTGGCTCTAGACCTAGACCGGAGGGGGGGGGGCATTGTGCCCCTGAACACCCTTTTTTTGAAAGGGGGGGGGGGGGGGGGGAGGGAGCAAGCAAGAGCGTGTATGGACAGTGATCCAGAATGAGAAAGGTGAAGAGACTGGGGAGAGTTGGCAGACATGAGGAGAAAAAAAAATAGGTGAAATGGATGTGTTCTGTGAAATAGATTACTGTTGGTGCTGAAAACTAGGTTCAAACAAGTTTACTGTGTTGTGGTGGCTTGGATCCCACTTCTGCCTTATACAGAATTGCTTAGATAGGTTATTAGTTTTTCTTTGTTACTTGCTGTGCCTCATGGCATCCATTTTGTGATGCTGCCCATGACAGTTTCTCAAATTGCTAAATGTGTTGACAGGTCAAGACTCTCCTTAATTTAGACAATCAGTCTCAGTGTTACCTTCTGAATTTGTCAAGCTTCTACCAATCACTGTCCAGGTGTTTTTGCTTTTAATAGGTTCACTTTCCTAACACAGTCACAAGAGCATCTGAGAAATATTCTACAAATGAATATGTTTTTGAGTGTATCAAAGTGTCTGAGTGAATCAAAACAATAGTGGCATTCAATATTTCTGATCAAGAGAAATATGAAACATGTCTGTTTTAATTAATGATAACATTTTAAAAGCATGCTTATTTTTTACATTTCAAAAAGATAGGGCTGCATTACTTCTAAAAGGAAAAGTTCAGCCCTCCCAACACTTGCTTCCTAACTTGAGATATCAGAGAATGAGTTCTAGAGTTTTCATTGACTGTGAGAGCCAGGAGATAGTATGTTCATTATATGGGAAGCCACTCCCCATTCATGTATATTCAGAGCTGAGATCTTGTGAACCTCAGCTCTATTATAAAGTTATAACAGAATGCTGTTGCTGATTATTGATTATATATGTATTCCAGAGCTCCTTCGAGGAGCTCAGTAAGGCTTGCAAGAAAGTAAATTATCCCATGTCATTTATTTTATTACATTTCTATCCTGTCCTTTTCCCTCTTGCAAGGAACCCGAGGTGGCTTGCTTAATCCTCATGCTCTCCGTTTCATTATCTCAACAATCCTATGAGCTAGTTTAAGCAGTGTTGTATGTGTCTGGCTGGCTCAAGGTTGCAAGCACCCAGGGTCACCTGAGCACTGGAACCTAGGCTTAAGGCTTCAACTCTTATGCACCTTTCCTTGGAAGTAAGTTTTACTACATGCAGTAACACGGCCTTCCGAAAGCACAAGCATTGCCTTTTGCTGACTCATGCCTCTTACCTCTGTGCAGCGCTGGATTCTTACAAGTATGCCTGGCTTTCTTATTTAGAGCGGTACAAAGGGGAAGGGGGTGGTCTATTAAAGCTGAGCGCGGGATAAGCTGTCATGTGTTTATCCTTGCAAGCCGCTTCATGCACTCGTTTTGGAGCGAAAGGAGGACAGAAATACACATAAAACAGGACAGGGAACGTACCCTGCGCACCGAAACTGTGGCAACTAGGACCCAGCGGGCGTTTTCTCTCAGCGTGGGATCCCGGCGCTAGGGCCCCGGGGAAGCCACCAGGGCCCGCCGCGGCTCCGAGGCTGCGGTCCAGAGAACGCGGAGTGGGACGCGCGGCACCGGCGCCCGAGCAACCAGAGCTGCGCTGGTCGGAACCGGAGCAGGAGGCAAGTGGCCGTTAGATGCGCTTGGGTGTTGGAAGGGGCGTGCCGGCCGACGGGTGACAGTCCCTGCCGAGGGCCGCTGGAGAGCGGGACGGAGCAGAGGCACTTGGGCCACCTTGCGCTGCCCTCGCCGGCTGGCAGGACGCGGCGCGCGGGAGGCGCCCCCAATTCCCATCGCATCGCCCGCACAGCGCACTCGCCCGTTCCGCGGCACCGTGCCAGGAGGCAGCCGCCGCCGCATGTGCCGGGGTGATCGGAGATCCATCTTGCTCTCTCGCCCCCCGTCCCCGCTGCTGCTTGTAATGGGGCAGTGACCCACTGGCTGGATATCCCTCTTTCGTGAATATCCTGCTTCCCGTGCACGCCGCCCCGGCGCTCGGGCCTGCTCGCCGTGCACAGGGGAGACGGGACGGAGCCAGGGTGGGGGGAGGGGAGCCGTGCGTCTCCTTCCCAGCCGCTTGCAGTTAAGCCTCTTGAGTATATCCTGCGGGGCGGCAAAGGACAGCGCGGAAAACACACGCGAGTGGCTATTCTTAGTTGAAAGCAAGCAGCGTGGGTGCTGCTGCTGCAGCTGCTGTCGCCACAAGCCATGCGGCCAGTGCTGGAATTACTGGCACTGGGCTCGCTGGAGTCCCCTGGGCAAGCGGCTACATTCCGTGGGGCCATGAAAATCCTTCACTTGTGCTTAAAAAATGGGCTCCCCTAGCAGCAGACTTCAAAGGGTGGACGTAAGTACGGACGGGAGCAGGATTTCGAAGACCCCCTTGTCTTGAGTGTGCAGCGTAGTCATAACGACCTGATGTGAAGGTTACTATTTTCATGTCGCACGTCAGAAAGGAAAGAGCAGAACAATGTTGAGAGGCAGAGGAAGGCATCAGAAATAGCACTAACCTCCTGCCATGTAAGCAGAGGCTAAAATAATTGTAATAAAAAAAGCTGAATGACTTAATTCAAGTCCCATTAGCTCCAGGCACAGGAGCCAGTGGTCAGCAATATTGGGAGTTGTCGTGCAAAATGTCTGGACAGAGCCAGCTTGAGGAAAGTTGGAATAGTAGGATGGTACAGATGAGATGCAAACAGTTGGTGGATGACAGGGCAAGTTGCATGAACCGCAGAGCAGAAACCAGTACATACCTGACGTTAGCACCACGAAGGTTGTTTGCTCATTGATGGGGTGTGTTTCTGTAGCGCCCCACAGCAGAAGCTCTCTGGCACATTCAACCTATAAAGTACAGGAACATGATAATAAAAACATAATGTAAAATCAAAGACAAATTTAAGCAGCCATAGAGTAAAACCAAAGTCCGGAGGGATTTATTCCCAGGTAAATATAGGTGAAATTATTTCTTGTTCGTTTATGGAAGCTATTGCTCTAGGATCATGCTATCATAAACACGTAGCATGAGTATATTTTTTTTAAAAATCAGTTTTATTAACAGACTCTCAACATCTATAGAACTGAATGATCCAAACAGCATAGAAGTCTTCAAGTCAACATTTCTTTAAGCCAGACCCTGAGGTGAACAAGATGTGTCTTCTTTGCCAAAAGCCATATAATTTCTGCTGGATTTTCCCATGGAACATCTTTCTTCCTCTTGTCTGGGCAATCTTGGGCAGGATGATGTTTTTCAAAAAGTTTGTCCCCGATTGGTGAACATACTCCTGCCTAGATAAGCTTATATGCCAGTGCATGGTGTTCACTTTTGCACTTGCACATGGGAACATGATGTGCCTCTAAGTGCATTTCCACCCATGAGCCCAAGCACGCATCTTAACCTCCTCCCTCCTGTCTTTCATTGGTGTTTCTGCAGTTCTTCAGCCAGCACGATGGTGGTGTTACAGAGCTACTGTGAGGGAAATGAGTCCCTGGCACAAGCCTGGACCCAGCAGGGGCTGTGTCCCTGCTTCTACTTCACACTGGTGCCAGCAGTGCTGCTCAGTGTCTGCCTCCTGTTGGGTGCCCTGCAATATGCCTGTTATGCCCGGTTCAGCCGTACCATGGAACCGAAGTACATCCCACGCTCCCGCCTATACCACCTCCAAGTCCTCCTCTCAGTGCTCCTTGCACTGCTTCCCTTTATCACCTTCCTGTGGCAAATGCTGGGCATGCAGCAACTCTATGGGTATATGGTGCTGTATGCCTGCCTCTCTGCTGTGGGCTGGGCCGGCTCAGTTGGGCTGCTGCACTTGGAGCGCACCAGAGTGATGGCGCAAGACCGGATCCGAGGCCACGGCGCCATCCTTCTCCTCTACTGGGCTCTGGCTTTTGCTGCAGAGAACCTGGCCTTCATCTCTTGGAACAGCCCACTCTGGTGGTGGGGTTTAGAAGACACCAACCAGAAGGTAAGTTATTGGGGGATCGTGGAGGGAAGACCCTGGGGATGTGGCCTGTCTGGTGTTGTGGTGCAGGAATGCAGGAATATGGCAAATTTCCCAGGAAAAGGCAGATAGCCTTTTCCCTTGAGATGCCACCACACTCAAAGCAGGAAGCTGTCCAAGCAGACCATTCAGTTCGCTCAGCTGATACCTGTCAGAGTCCACGTCGGGAGTGTCAAATGTTTTTCAGCCTGAAGGCCTTAAGTAGCTCTTGGGGAATAAGTTTACAGTGGTGAGTGGGGTCCGAGGTGAAAAAGAGCAGACTCAAAGGCACAAAGGGTAGGCAACAAATGACAGCCTATTGAAGCTTTTACTGTCAGAAACTAGTCGTAGGAGAGACATTTCAACATTTCTGAATGTGCAGGAAAACTCTGCAAAAGCCAGGAAACCGCCAGGCAATCAGTGTTCAGGCAAAGGCTGGTGTGGTTATCTGGGGAAAATAGAGGAACTGATTGGGACCTCAGGTGAGCCAAATTTGGCTCCCGATCTATATCAACATATGAACTGACACAAGCGGAAATATCTCAGTAAGTGCACAAATAAGATGTTCTGAAAGTTTTGACACTAAGGAAAACTTTAAGATGTGTTGGGAATGTAGGTGCTTGAGCTAGAAGTGGGCAAACAGTGGGATCTACCCAAAAGGAGGGGGAGATTTCCCTGCCAGTGACACTTGCAAGATTTTCTGCGGATGCCTGCAAGCTGTTCTACTGGATCCTATTTGATCCTTCCTGTGTGAGGATCAAATATGGTTACCACCTTCTTATTTTACATAAAAGTTGACTGAAACGCAGAAAACTAATAACTGAAAGTGAGGCTTTTCCTGGGTTAGAGATGGGGAAAGCCTTACCTGTTGTTTTTTTGCCTCTGAAGCAGCCTCACACACAGCCCTGCCCCAGTACAGGTGGCAGTCTTAGTGTGGAGATCGTTTCAATCCAGTAATATGTCCACATATATCTATGTGGATCTTTCCACATATATCTTTTCAATATATTGTTGGAAAGAGATGGATTTTCCCTCGGCTCCATGGGAGACTAGTTGTTATGCTCAGTCTCAGCAGGCATCCCTACAAGGGATAAATACCCTCAATTTTAGCCATCAGTTAATGCATGTACTGTATTTTTCACAGTACCTTGTGCTGAAAGTGGTTTCCAAAAACATGACAAAACAAAACAATCTTGCCACCATTGCAGTTTGTTTAAAAATTTTAAAAATTGTCAACACACAGAAAACCCCAGAAGTAGATCAGTTACCAATATCCAGACAGTGTTGAGTATTTGGATATCTAGTACCCAATAATATTTTCCAATGTATGGGGACTGTGAGTCAGGAAAGAAGGTATTTAACCTGGATTTTTCTTCTTATAATCATTTAGCAAAGGAGAGAAGCTTGGGGCCAAGCAAACGTGCTGATGTCAGTGAGACATACCCGTGTTTGCTGTTACTTGAGTCCCAGCCGAGCTTGTCTTTCCCCTCCCAGACTACTCTTCTCAGCTTAGTTTTGCTGAGTCACTTTAGTTGTTCAACAGGCTCACGTGAGCACATGGTGCATAGCCATACATGTTCTTTCTCTCTCTAACACACACAACACATGGACAAAGATGGACGAGGCTGTCAACTTTAGGGGACTTTGCCCAATGACTTGGTGTAAATTTTCACTTAAGAGGTTTCTAGCCACAGGATGCGAGTTCCATTGGCAGCCAATATCCTTGCCTTCTAACAACAGGTTGGAAAGAGAGAGATCAAAATCCTGCTGCTGGCTTTGTGTTAAGATATCTTCCAGTCAAGTGATTCAGGTCTTTTCCTCTCTTCCCACTAGGAAGCAGAACAGATAGTGAGCTCTCTCTGCTTTAAGATCAGGCAACTGGGCCTAAATAGACCATCCTGAGACACCAGTAGTTGGACAGAATATAAAAGCTTTCTATAAATAAATAAATTTGGGAATAAGAAATACAGTGTGATGCCGTCAGCACTGTATACCTTCTGCTTTAAACATGGATAGAACTAATTGTCTAATGCTTTCATCCCTGCTTTTTTGCCCCCCTCACACCATGGGTCAAGTAGCTATATTTTATACCATACACTTGTGACCATTTGCCATCAAGCTATTGCTATTCCCACGATAACTAACCTAATTTCACTTGTCACTGTAGACCAGAACCAGCCCTGCCATTAGGCAGAGTGATGTAGCTGCTTCAGGGAATTGGTATTCAGGGGTTGAGAATGGGTGGAACTGCACGGGCCACGTGGCCAGCCCTGTGCCCCCTGACCTGCCTTGTTGCAACGGAAGACTGTCTCCTGGAGCCATTTTTGAAGAGATTCTTGTCTAGCCTAGCTGGCTTTTGTACATGGAGTCAAGATGCCTTCTAGTCCTTTGTCTCAAGCAGCAAAATGCTTGGGGTCATTTGTGGCACAGGCAAGATTTAGGGCTGACCTATTCATATAAGCTGGGGGAATCCGGGATTGTCCATTTGGAGCCGTACAGTTGAGGTGGACACTCTGCAGATGGTTTGGCCTATAACTCTGGTAGCTTACTTTGGTTTTATTGTTTTAAGCCTCATGGTTTTGTGTCTTGCTTGTGAATTGCTCATAGGACTTTGGCTATTGGGAGGGGTAAAATAAAAGCAAGTAATAAATAATAGTACAACTCCCAGCCTCCCTCATCTTTAGCTATACTAGCTGGAATTCTGAAGGGTGTTCTATTCCAAAACATCTGGAGGGCCACATCCATGCCATCTATCCACCAAGAGCTTAAGGGGCCTCAGTCTTATTTAGTCTTGATGGGGGGCAGCCCATATATTCACAAAGGCGGGGGCAGAGCTGGAAATGCTGCTTGGCTGACAGCTGATGTATTCGAGCAAATACTGTGTGATGTTGATGGGACCCTTGTACGAGAGGCAGCCTACCTTTTGACAGCATCAGGCTCTCGTCTGAAAGCCATGGAAGGCATGAGGTGCCCCTGCTCCCCAGGCTTGTATGAGCCAGGCACACGCGCACCCCTCATTCAGAAGCCACCCTCCAGGCAGCTCAAGAGAGCAGCTGTGCCCTTCTGGCCTCCCAGTTCAGTCACATGACCCACCTCCTCCTACTGGCCGTGTGCTGGAACTGCACCATCTCCACCCAGGAGCGGACCTCAGGAAGCGAACTCAGCCAAGCTGCCCCTGCCAAAGGCTTTGGGGGCCAGGACCTCCAGCAAATGCTTTGTGACGTGTCTGGGAGGGACTGGATATGGGGTTTTCTAGAAGAAGGTAGTTGCCTTTTGGGTAACTATTACCATAATTCTTTCTCTTCCAAAAAATGACTGCTATACATGCTTGGCTATTATTTGACCAGTTGGGGATCAATTGACTTGAAGTATGTTTTTGGCAGAATTTAGTGGGTGGCTTGCCCTGCTAATCCAGATCACTTGTCCTAGTGGTTGAACTCTGAGGAAAGAATCGTTGCCTGGTTTGTAGTGGGTGGGTGCTCAGGAGGGGGAAGGACAGGAAGCGGGGCTGCTGGAATAGTAAAACTGACATCTGCTGAACTCCTCAGGTCCAACTGAGCCTGTGGTTACTCCGCTACATCAGCACCTTCTTCCTCTTCACTTTGGGAATAAAGGCCCCAGGGCTGCCCCGAAAACCCTACATGCTGCTAATCAATGAGGACGAGCGCGACGTGGAGAACAGCCAGGTGAGCTTCTGTTCCGCAAGATGGGGTGACCCTCCTGTCTCTCTGTCCTGCTTCTTTCTACTTCCCACCCCACCCTGTGGAGCAAGTACTAGGTGTGGGAGGAAGCAAATGTGTGAGTCATTGCAGTCAGGAGCACCTGTTTGTCAAGAACAGAGCTTGCAGCCACAGCCTCTTGCTTATTGTAGCTGCCACTTGGCTGAAAATCTTGGAAGGGTCAGAACCCAGATCCAGAGCACATGCTACAGTTGAAGCAAACCTCTCTCTCAAAAAGCTTCTCAGACAGGAGAAGACTTTCCCCAGACTATTAGACATGTTAGTTTGCCATCTTTATATTTTGAAGCTCCCGATCCCTCCGGAGGCCTCTTTTCAGCAGCATCCTGCAGTGACTGTCAAGTTTGCTCCAGTTTACATGTCTACTGGAGGCAAGACTTGGGCTGGAAAAGAGGTGGTCTTGATGCCACCTCTTTTTCAGACAACATGAGAGCCCATAGTTGAGTGGCAGAGCAGGTGCTTGGCATGTAGATGCTTTCGATCTCTGGCATCTCCAGTTGGAAGATTCAGATAGTGGGCCTGGGGAAGACGTCTGACTGAGCTTGGAAAGCTGCCACTGGCTGACATGAACCGATGGCCCGGCTTGGTATAAGCAAGTGCCACTTGCTTAAAGCAGCAGTGGGGACCCCAGGGCCTCCTGTTTAACTGCTGGACTTTGGCCACCAGCAGTCCCACCCCGTGTGGTCAATGGTCAGGAATGATGGGATCTGTAGGCTAACACCACCCTCAGTTTGAAAGGCTCCTGAGTGTGTGATGCCTAGAACTTCAGCAGGCCTTTCCTTTCTGATTGTGCAGCTGCAGTGATAAGGAAAAGCAACCCCTGCTGTGATGATCAGATCATGACAGTGTGGCCTAGGGATTGAGAGTGGCAGGTCTGGGACTCAGATGATGTGGGTTCTAGTCCCCACTCGGCCACGCAGCCAAGTGGGTGACTTTGGGCCAGGCACAGAGACTCTCAGCCCAACCTACCTCACAGGGTTGGTGTTGTAGGGATAAGATTGAGAGCAGCAGGAGGAGACTGATGTAAACTACTTTGAGTTCTTTAAAATGGAATATAAATATAATAAATAAATAGCACCAGATTGTCCTTTCTGGAAGAAGTGGCAGACCTCAAACACATTTTAAATGTTAGTGTTGTCTTTAATATTTATTTCATACTTTATATGTGATGCTGTGTCCTGTTGATGTTATCACTGCCCTGAGACATTGTAAAGGGCGGGATACAAAAATTTTAAAACAAATAAACAAATGAAGATTAAAGGAGGAGAGCAAGCTGTAGGGAAAAGTTCACAGAAGCTGTGAGTTAACAGACAGTCCAGTAAATCTGGTTCAGTTATGCAGAGCCCACGATCAGGTTCAGTTGCTTTGCTCTGAGGCGGAGCTGCTGGCTCACCACCCAGCGCCTCTCCGGCACAGTCCCAGCTGGGCGAGGGAAGAGGGGAAACAAGCCTTGCCTCTGTCCAGGCCTTGTGGTGAGCGGTGGGAAGGGCTGAACGAGACAAGTCCATGACGGTTAAACATAAGCCAGTTGTCTGTAAAGCAGGTGTGGTTCCTAATGTTTATGTCAGAATGAGGACATGGCAGCGAAGAACCAAACCTGCTCACTCTTTTGGCATTATGCCAGCAAGCTTGGCCGCTTTAAGCCATTTTCCCTCAGCCCACTTTGCGTTCAAGCGCTGGGGCAGGCCGGGGAAGGTCAGTGTGAAGTGGCCAGGCAAGGTGGAGCATGGGAGGGAGGACTGAGGAAGGAAGAGCTTCTGTGCTAGAGCAGCTGCTTGGCAAGTGGGAGGCTCCATCTCTGGCACCTCCAGGAAAGCTCTGAGAAACTCCTGCCGGACACCCCGGAGAGCCACTTCTGGTCAGTGCTCACAGCACTGGGCTGGATGAAAGAAGGGTCTGAATCAGGGTAGGGCAGCTTCCTACGTTCCTTTGCTGGGTATCTTTCCTCTCCCTTGTGCAATCATTTGATAAAATGCTGGCATGGGCCATCACCCACTGCAGCTGGCGGGGGGAGACGGGGGACTCTGCAGAGGATCAAGGCAAGTTTGGGAGCCAGTACCGCTGCCGCCTTGCTGGGGTTGAACCTCAGTGGTGGGACTTCTGGCTCGCCTCCTTGCAGATGCAGCTCCAGCAAAATGCCCCCCTATCCCCCACCACAACAGTTGAGGGAGCTGGGGCTAGCACTGAAGAGTGGGAGGGTGAGGGCCTCTCGCCTCGCGTGCTGAACAGTGGCCTGTAGGGCTGCCTGCCGCAAGTCTCACGGACGGGCAGTGGCAGCCCGCAGCACCGCAAATGTGCTCCCAGGGAAATGGGGAGAGGTTGGGAGTCAGGAGCAGCCACCGCAGTTATTCGGGGCAGAGGAGGATGGGCGGGGAGTGGCTGTGCTGCGGCAAGGGGTGTTGGCCGTCCCTACCTTGTCCCACAGCTCAAATAACCTGCATGGCTCTGCAAAAGGCCGAAACTGTTGGTGAGTGGTAAAGCAGCTGCACTCCTGGACTTGCTCTGAATGAGCGTGCTGGCCTGACCTCTATTACAGAGACCTGTTGAATGTAGCGGGGGGGGGGGGGTCGTTCCCCGCCGTGTCGTTGAGGGGCTTAGACTTCCTGATGATGCTCAGAGCTCTGCAGGGATGAAGGGCCAATGAAGATGGGCCATCCCAGGGGGCTGATGGATCTGAAAGCTTTCTGGATGGCTTTTAGGACTTTCTCTGTTGCCTCAGCAGGCATTTCTGTTGAAGGCCTGCCTCTGGAATGAAGAAATTACCGGGGTGGTAGACAGAATTGCTCCTGAGCATCCTCTCTCGTGAAGCAGAAACACTCCATTGCCCTGGCTGGTGGCAATGAAAGACGTGCAGTCATGGCTTACTTGGCATTGGTGGAAAATGCAGAATGAATCTGTTTAAATACAGGCTAGTGCCTGTTTGAAGGCCTACTCTGGAGCAATAAGGGCAGCAAAGAAGCCCCCCCCCCCCCGCTCCTATTGAATCTGCAAAGATCTGTCCTGTGGAGCTATTCTGGGTGGTCGGGGGTCTTCTCCAAGCCAGCCCACAGCAGGAGGACTTAGACCTTTTGACAGCTGGCTGTGAATACTTGGTGCAGCACTTTCCAGACAAAGTTGCTCAGATCTGCTCCAGTTGGAATGTTGTGGTTGATGCAGACCCAGTGGATGCAGCTCTCGTTCTTGCTTGCCCGGTATGATTGGATGCTTCAATTTGTGCATCCTGGACAGATTCCTTGGGGAGCCCCCACGTGTGCCCTGGATCCTTGCCCTTCTTGGCTCATAAAAGCCGCCAGATGGGGACTGTGTGGCTAATCCTCTTTTGGTCAAGACAGGGATCCAGCCTGCCTGAAGAAGACGGGAATGAAACCCATGTTCAAAAAGCTCTCCCTGAATCCCACTACACTGGATAATTACTGACCAGTCTCCGAGTCCAGGCTCCCCAACTCCAGGGTTTCCTGAGACGGAGAATCTACAGCCATTTCCGTCTGGCTTCAGACCTTGTTATGGAGTGGAAGCAGCCTTGGCCAGCTTGGTAGTTGACCTGCACAAAGAGCCAGACGGAAGAGTGTGTCCCTGTTGGTTCTGCTGGACCTTTCAGCAGCTCTTGATACCATTTTCCATGGTATCTTCATCAGCTGGAATGGGAATTGGACGCACTGTCCTACAGTGGCCTCATTCCTTTCTGGAGTCATGGACTCAGAAGCTGGTATTGGAGGACTTCTGTCTGACTCCCTGGACAGTGAATTGGGGAGTTCCTCAGGGTTCCCTTCTGTCCCTCATGCTGTTTAACTTTATATGAAGATGCTGGGAAAGGTCTGGAGTTTTGGAGTTCAGTGTCACCAGTCTGCTGATGACACCCGACTCTTATTTCCCCTTTGTACCTCTCTCCAGGGAAGCTGTTTCAGTGCTAAATGAATGGATGAGGGCAACCAAATTGAAGCTTAATGCAGAAGTGCTCTTGGTCAGTCAGAAGGTGCATGAAGGCACAGGGATGCAGCCTGTGCTGGATGGGGCTACACTCTCCCTGAAGACACCGGTCCACAGCTTGCATGTACTTGTGGATTTAACTCTGAACCTGGATGCCCAGGTCTTGGTGGTGGCCAGGAGTGCATTTGCCCAGTTAAAATTAATGTGCTCATTCCTCAAGGTGCCTTGTTTGGCCCTAGTGACACATGCCTTAGTTCCACCCCATTTGGATTACTGTGATGCGCTGTACATGGGGCTGCCTCTGAAGAGTGTTCTGAAGCTTCAGATGGCTCAGAGGGCTGCTGCCAGACTGTTGACTGGCCCTGGCTGCAGGAAGCCAAAAACCCTTTGCCAAAACAGCTTCACTGGCTACCAGTCTGTTTCCAGGCATAATTCAAAGTGCTGGTAATGGCCTACAAAGCCCCATATGGCTCAGGTCTGGGCTATTTGAAAGACTGTGTTCTGCCCTATGAGACAGTTTGTGCCTTAAGATCTTCAGGAGAAGCCCTTCTCATTATTCCTCCTCTTTTCCAGGCATGGTTGGTGGGAATATGGGAGAGGGTCTTCTTGGTGGCTGCCTCAAGGTGCTGGAACTCCCTTTCCGGGAAACTGAAGCGTTTCCTCCTGTTATGCTTTTGGAGACAGGCAAAACTTTTCTATTCCAGCAGATGTTTGCAAATACTCTGGACCTATGAGAATACATAGAACTAGTTCTGTTGATATGTTGTTTTTGTTGCTGCTTTAATTTTAGCACTTACATAATTCTAATATTCTAGCTGATTCAATTATATTTTAACTTGTGTATATTTCTGCTAATGTTTTAATTGTATAATTTTTAACGTTGTAAGCCACCTTGGGTTCCAGAACTGGGAGTAAGCAGAATATAAATGAATATGTGAATGATTACAATAGCAAGAACGCACACACACCAGCCATTGCTTTATACACAAATAATCAAGTGTGTACTTAATAAACATATGGACATCTAGTTTGGTTATACAATAATATTTGTGGAATACTTTGAACATCTGAAATGGGCTGTGTTAACTGCTAAGCATTATTAGTATTGCTGTATTGTGGCAATGATTTTCAAGATGAGGATAATCTTATTATAAATAAAATTAATTGCTCATGCTGAGAGAGCTAATAACCTGAGTTCCAGTTTTGAAAGGGTTCCTTGCCTTTATGCCAGTGCATAATGAAAACAGTTTTGCAATGCTCTCATCCATATCTGATCTATTCCTAATGCTTATTGACCTTAGAGATTTGAATCAGTTGGGGTGGTGTGGAATCTAGCAGATGGGAAAGATCACCAGCAGGTGGCACTGTGGAGCTTTCCCATATGCCTAGTCCAAACTTAATTCAAACTTTTACTGTCCCATGCAGCAAAAGAAGCTGAGTTCTGCTATCAGTATAAATTAAACCCAATTTAATTTTATTATTATTATTATTATTATTATTATTCAATCAAATTTCAAACAATTTCCTCTTTGGTATAATTTTGCAATTTTAAGAACTAGCTTGCATAATTCATTTGGGGTCTGCTTGCCATTAAAAGGGCCAAGGAATTATGTGAGCCACAGAAATTAAGCTGCTAACCACTGGAGATCATTTTTCAGCTGCTCTCCTGGGCTTCTGAGACTTCAGTAGGTATTGCCTTTTCAGCATCTCTTCTCAGCCTTTAGGGCCAGAAACTTGCTTAAAAATCAAAGGAATATTGAAAGCTTCCAGAGATTCCCAGTCAGGCATGCTTCTAGAACATGGGTCCTCAAGCTATGGCCCGCGGGCCGGATCTGGCCGGCCGTGCCCATTTATCCAGCCCGCCATAGAGGTTTTGGACTCACCGCATGCGTACAGTGAAGTGGCGGCTTGCTTGTGTGGAGATCGTTTTGGACTCGCTTGGAGGAAACGATCTCTGCGCATGCACGCCCTTGCCTTGCTGCGTGCGTGCCCCCTCCCCGCCATGGCCTGCGCCCCCCACCCGCACTGCCTTGGCAGCCTGCGCCCACTGCCAGCACCGTTCAACTGGCCCCCTGTTGAAAAAGTTTGAGGACCCCTGTTCTAGAATAATGGCAAGCAGAGAGTACAGCCTGTACCATTGTACCTGCAGAGCACTGGTGCAATACAATTACTTGCTCCAAAATTACACCAGCACAGGGAGGTGAAATAATCCTACTTTCATATATGTGATGATGGGATCTACACAGGCTGTTATCATCCAATAAAGAGTAGAAATGCTGCAAATGTTGTCTTAGTGGACTGTGTACAAGGTAAACTCAGCATTAGGCATGATTAAGAAAGAGGCTGACAAGAAAACAGGAAGTATCCTAATGCCAGAATATACATTTTTGCTGTGCCCCATGGATTATTGTATGCTATCCTTCCCCTAGTCTGGAACCTTTCAGGGGTGTTGAACTACAACTCCGAGCATCTCAGGCATGATGGTCCATCACCACAATGGTTGGAGATAATGAGGTGGTTAGTCCAAAACTGCTGGAGGTTCATCATGCAGTCCTGGTCATTCCAACTCAAAAAGAACTTTATAGAGTTCAAAAAAGGATAGAGGAGAGCAAGTAAAATAGCTTTAAACAAGCTAAAGTGACTGAGGCAGTGGAGTTTGGAGAAAACAGGAAATGGTGATTTATTAGAGGTTTTGAAATAATTTGATTGATAATGAAGACAATTGTCAGAGATACAGTATTCTCTCACAAAAGTCAAGGTCTTATGGTCAAACATTAGAACTGAATGATAGAGGATAAGCTGAAGGAAGTGGATGGGTGGCGAAGTCCACAAAACCTCTGCAGAACGTCAGCTTGGAAAAGGTGCATCATTATTATGTTTTTCTAATGAGTTTCCTCTGGCATTTAATTGGCCAAGGATGGAGATAGAGGCCTCATTCACATATAACATGGCTATTCCTTGCTCACTGTGAAGGAGAGGTGTGTTGGTATGTGTAGCCCCCTTGTCTGAGCAGGTAAAACAAGCCAGGGAGACATAGCTTACGCCTGGCTGAGATATCTGCCCTCAGGATCCTAGTTTATTGTTCCCAAAAAAGCCAGGATTCATAAGCCATCAGGATTTGCTGCCCACTTACCAATTCGGGCTTGTTTGGGAACAATAAACCAGGATCCTGGGCTTGTGTGCCACAGTGAACTGTCTTTTGCTGTAGTTACCCACATGGAGATTGAAGTAAATGGTTTGCATACAAAAGCAGGTTGCAAGGCAGGTTGGCTTATCCTTGTGTGCAATTGTAGCTACAGTAAGAATATTTGGTTTATTCCAGCAGATCAGTTCCTAATTACTTCAACTGTACTAACATTTGGGAGGTCAGTGAATGTCTGTTGTATACTGCAAGGCCACCTACTACTCTTGCAGCAATTTTCTCCTACAATTCTTATTGTCAAATACATTCCTGGCCTTCAAATGTCTTTTTTTTTTTCAAAAGTACTTTAGAAAAGGCAGATACGGGTAATCAACCTTTAAAAAATGTCTAGACATTTACAAGCATGGTGGGTGATAAAAGCTAAAAGTAAATTCTAGGTAAACCTTTAGCCATGCATGTGTCGTACAGGAAGTACATGCCAGCTGTCATTGGGACGGTAGTGGTCATCTTGACTGGGTTCAGGACAGCTCATAAAAATCACCTCCTCTTCTTCCTTCCCCGACTCACTTCCATTTCTGTATTGTAGCCCCTGCTCTCAGATGCCAGGCACCGCCCTTCCACCTGGAAGGATTTCGGCCGGAAGATGCGTCTCCTTACAAAGTACATGTGGCCGGGGAGAAACCTCCTGCTCCAGAGCCTGGTGATCTTCTGCCTGATGCTTATGGGCCTGGAGCGTGCCATCAACGTCTTTGTGCCCATCTACTACAAGAACATTGGTAAGCGGAGCAGGGGCCTTCCAGGGGGGCATAGAACTGCCTCCAGCAGAGGCCCAGAAATGCATGGGAGAGGGGGCATAATATAAATACAGGGTTTTAGAAAGGTGGGGTAGGGCCAGAGCAGGTTTCTTAGCTGCAGGTCAGAGGGAGAACAAATGCTTTGTATGCAGAAGGTCCAAGGTTTAATCCCCGGCATCTTCAGAGAGTGGAAAAACTCCTGCTTAAAACCCTGAAGAGATGCCAGTTGGCAGGAACAATACTGGGCTAGGTGGACCGAGGGTGTAAGGCAGCTGCCTGGGTTCCTGTGGCAGGACGAGAGTGACGTTTTCTGATTTTTCTCATATGCCAAATTGGCCAGCAGAGGGCGCAGCTTGCGCAAGCATTTGCAGAGTGCAGTGGATTTACAACAAGGAAAAGGAGTTAGCGCAAGGATCTTTGTCGAGCACCTTCATGTAAGCCTTCTAATAAATATGAGCCTGGGGGAGCGACAGCCAGCTGGAAGGGCTTCAGTGCATGGATCCTTACTAGAACTTTGCTTTCAAGCCCTGCATGTTGCAGGCACACACTCAAGACGAAATGCTCGAGGGGGATTTGGCGCAACCCCTTTCTTTAGGCTGAGTAACTGCATAGCCCTTGACATACTGAGAGACACGGTGTGCCTGTCCAGCATCCAGCAGTATGAGGACTCGGATCTCCCCTCCCGTATGATGAGAGGGCGGAGGGGTGTGCAGCTGCTAATCTGTTGCCAAGATGGAAAGCAATCCATCTCGGCCTTTCTGATCATGAATGATCAAGTTCACACCTTCTGAGTCAGGCACAGACTTGAATGCAATCTGTGACTGAAGTCTGTACATACCCAAGTTTGCATTATGTCGCATGAACTGAGTTCCCCGCTTTAGACAGCATGTGTACCTTGAAAACCACCCATGGAAAAGTGTGTGGTCTTGAAAAACATGCACAGCATGCTTTAATCAATGCAAGAAGAATGTGTGTGTATACAATTCGTGCACACACTTGGAGAAACACAAACTATTTTTGTTTGCTTTTTGGAAAAAGAAAAAAAGCGCAAAGCTTGCAAGCTAATATAGACGCGGTTGGGAGCAAGCTTCAGGTGGAATCAGGCTGAGTTTTGCTAGTTCACACATCCCTAATCTGGAGAGGTTCTGTTTGCTTACTGAAGTGGCACAGCAATTTTTCAGCACAGTCCTTGCCTGGCAGTGAAATGCAAATGCCTGGAATGTGGGAGGGGGGCTGCAGCTCCATGCAGAAGGTCCAGTTTAGATCCTCGGCATCCCAGGGAGGGACAAAACCCCGAGAGCTGCTGCCAGTCTGTGCTGACGACACTGACCTGGGTGAAGGAACAGTCTGAGTAGGGAGATACCAGTTTCTTATGTTCTGATGTTACTCCTCACGCAAATGAATGGTTGTTTATGCTTGGAGCATGTTCTCTTTGAGGCGGAGCCAGTGGGCAGTGCGAGCGCAGGATGGCCGGATACGTTCCACTCCTCCTGTCCTGTTTCTCCCTATCCCTTCTGTCCTTTAGAGGCGCCCCATGTGCTGTGAAGAACGAGGCAGTGTTCCGGGCTGGAGAATTATTGGGTGTACTAGTGGAATAGGGTCGGTCCACTTGTATGCCAAGTCATCTGGAAGGCCACAACTCCCGTCAGCCTGAACTAGCAGAAAGGGATGATGGGAGCTGTGGCCCTCCAGTTTTGGCCTCCAAGTGGCCCACTCCACGTTGCAGAATGCCCCTCCTTCTGATCAGGTTTACTTCCAAGTTCCTCCTGAAAGTCTACTTCTGCCGCAAAAATTTCCTTGACCAGCTGTAGCCTGGCTTGACCCGTGTGTCCTCTGCGGCCTAACAACCCCTCTCTCACACTCGCTGTCTCTGCTAAACTCCTGAGCACATTCCTGCCCTCCCTTCAGCGATACCTTGTGCATCCCATGCACACTTTAAGCCATCAGCCGGGATGCACGGCTGAGGCGCAGAGACCCTGTGAATTTGCAGGGAGAGCAGAGCGAGGACTGTGTGCCCAGCTGATTTCTGCAAGGTCAGGGTGAACTGCTCAGGTGGCAGCAGAGGGTGTGGAAAGTCTGTGGGGAGGGCTTTGCTCAGTGGAGATGTGGGGGAATGCATTTCCCTCCTGGATCTCCCCAGAGCCCTGCTGTGACCTTCCATCCCGCTTACTCCCAGGCTAACTCTGTGCTGAACCTCTGCAGGGGGAGGGGAGCAGCCTCTCTTTGTTAGTAGGAGCTGCTGGTGTGTGCCAGGTTCCCATGCCCCGGTGGGCGGTGCGAGTGCCAGCTCAGGGCGGCTATTGAGAGGTGCCTGAATAGGGGAGGATGGACTTTGGACCTGCCTTTCAGCCCTGACTTTTAGACTTTACAAAGGAGTCACTGCAGGCGGGAGGCACGGAGTGCGGACTGCATACACAATTGTCTGATGGGAATGGAGCCGAGAACGGGGAAGACTCTGCCCTACATGCTAAACAGCTGCCAGGCAGAGAGATGCTCATCGATTCCACCTGGGAGAGGCTGCACCTGCTCCTCCCCGTCTAGGTGGCTCTGGTTGCTGTTCCTGCCAGTCCTGTGCCCCAGCACCCATCCTTGCTCCTGGGGAGACTGAAGAAGATGAGCATCCCTGCCACGGGGCCAGAGTGGTGTTCCACATAGCTCACCAGCACGTCTTTGCCGAATGAGCCTGATGCGGGAGGCTGACCGTTTCACTAGCATGGTAGCATGGCAGATTCCCCTGCATGGTAGACTGGAATATAGGCAGGGAGCTGCCTTATACTTGGTCCATCTAGCCCAGTGTTGACAACACTGACTGGCAGCAGCTTTCCAGGGTATCAGGCAGGAGTGGAGATGAAAATACCTGGACCTGGGACCTTTTGCATGCAAAGCAGAAGCATTACCACACAGATACAGCCCCAGTTCCTGAAAGCAGAGAATTATCCTGCATCTGCCAGTCCTTTCTATAGGTTTACTTTTCATGTTTGCCTAATCCTTTTCTCTTAATTGTTCATGCAGCCGGTCTGCAGGATGCAACTTCTTGGGGCAATGAGTTACCTAGGCCAGTCATGCAGGGCGGAGTGGGGTATTCAGCTGCACACTAGCTTCCACAGGTGCAGTCTCCTCTGGGATTTGTGTTCCTAAGGAGTTCTTAGGCCAGGGAAATGCTGTCTGGACCAAGTGGTTTGTTAATATTTAGCTCAGAGGCCTACACGGCATAGTCTGTTAAGTGCATCCCTGACGATTTCCCAGCTCTCTATAGTCCCTCCTTCCTTGACTTGCAGGCGTTCAAGTTCTGTCCTTATTATTTCTCATATACACTTGGTGCACCAGATGCTGCTAGATACCAAATCCGTAGCCTCAAGTTCTGGGGTGGTTACATTGCCATTCCTGCCTGTTTCCTGCTGAATGGGAGAACAAACAGTTACAGATGGAGGGTTCCGAGTGCTGCCTGGATCTCCTCCAAAGCTCCATGAATGTGGCAAGACAACAGAGCCGCAACCCCCTTGCGTGGAAGTGAGCTCCGTGAGGCCAGTGGCTCTGCAGGAGCACAAACCCCAGAGAAGCCTCGCGGTGCTTGCAACAGGCCCCTCTCCCTCGGTGGCACACTCTGGCAGGGGGTGTGGGCTGAGAGCTGAAACCCACGTCTGGCACTTGCTCTGCGAGACCCCGCTCGGACTGCCGTCTGTGCCAGAGATCTGCTGCCATGGCCGACCGGCGTTGCTCAGCCTCACTTTGCCCACGCTGGACAGCAGGAACGGCCCACTTCCCCTCTGTGGTCAGCGCTCCGCACGAAAAGGCTTTGGATCAGTTATTTAGCAGCACAAAGCACCACGCTGGAGAAGTACAATCTCAGCAAGCAAGCCTGAGGTCCAGGTCACCTGCCCTCCTCTGAGCAGCCCACCTTGGGTGTCCACCTTTTCCGTGCCTTTTTTCCAAGAGAGCCGTTTCAGTCTGTGCTTGAGCTGCTCTCCGGGGACGGGATGGTACGGGGGGGGGGGGGGCCCCCCCCCCACCTCCCCTGCCGCCAGCAAAGAGAATGAAAGGCGAGGGAGGGGCGCTCCCACATGGGGTCACCCACCCTGCCAGTTAGGATTACCCAGCAAAGTGCCGCTGGCCGGGGAACAGACAAGGGCCCTTTGTGTGCCAGGCCTGTCTCCCCGCAGGGGGCGGGGCTGGGGTGCTGGTTGCTGTGTGGTTCCTTGAAAGAGAATAAAGGGAGCCAAGAGACTCCGCCAGTGTCTCCCCAAGGAAAGGAGAGTGGCGGGCTCTGGGGCCAGGGGAGTGTGAGATGCGCAGCAATTGCGACGGCCCAGGGAGGGCGACCGGCGGAAGAGAGCAAGGTCTGGCCCCAGAGCACAAAGGTTGGTCGTGTAACGCCTGGTGGGATCTGAGAGAACACGTCCTTGTTTCTTCTCTCAAGAACCGCGCGCCTTATCATCCTTGAGGATCCCAGCAATGTACATAAAAAGGCAGAAAGACAAAGATCAATCGGGAATCTACCTTGGTACAGAGTGGTATACAACTACTGTAAAAATACTAGTACAGTATAGCAACCATGATAAATTACAAGAGAAGGAGCAGAGAAACTGCTGCCAGAGACCGCAGTCGGGATCTCTGTGCTCTGCTCCAGTCCAGAAGCGGCAGTGCCTCTGCAGTGGGCTCCGTTGCTGAGGGGGCCTGTGCCCCATTGTTGACTGTGCATGGCTGCAGGCCAACATCTGCTTGAGGCTTTGTATTTCCCCAGGTGGGCCGAGGCACAGGTGGGGGGGGGGGCTTTCCTGCTGCACTGCACTCACTCCCCCAACACACATCTCTCAAGACTCAGTGGTGTTTTCCTGGAGAGGAGAATATCTTGCTTGAAGCCCCCTTGAAGGTCAAGTCTGTTTCCACACGGCAAGCGCCACTGAACTGTGCTGTCCTAGGCAGCTGCCAGTCTGTGCTGTCAAGCTAGCCCTTCACCAAACATTACTTGGGTGCAGATAGTCATGTCCAACCTGGCACCCTCCACATGTGATGGGCTACATGTGGGGTTGATGGGAGTTGTTGACCAACAAATCTAGAGGGCAGCAACTCAAAAAAGCCTGGATTAAGATGCCAACTCCTGTTGTTGTTGCTGTGCAGCTACGTGGCGTTCCCGTATGCGTTGAATCAGATTGGCCCTGGGCCTGGGAGGACATGTATCCATGTGTGAGGTCCTGTAGTGTGGACTGATGCGCATCCTCAGCTGTGTATTGCTACTTAGTGCATGGATACGCATGTCTGCAGGAGTATCCTTTAAACACCTAGAGTAAGTTCTAAATGTACATTGTATGGTGGTTTGCCTACATAGGAAGGGAAGAGGAGGAAAGGTGGAAACACACTATTTTGCCTGTTTCACCTTCCCCTTGTGGAACAGGCCATTGTCAGTTTGTAATGGACACCCAACAGGGAGGTTATAAGGTGAGATCAGCGCAGCATCATAGAACAGTAGCGTTGGAAGGGGCCGACTGATGCGTGAGTTTGTATGTGGGAAAGGGTTTGTAAGCGACTGATACGTGAGTAGGCAAGAGAGGTGCAAGTGAGTCAGGTTGAGGTTAATGCTCTTCTCAGGCTGATTCTTCTTGCCTCCCATTCAGTGAATGAACTCACAGCTGGAGCTGCCTGGCGTATCCTCCTTCAGACAGTCTGCATCTATGTGGCTCTCAAGTTTCTCCAGGGAGGAGGGGCTGGTGAGTCGGCCTGGTGTGTGATGGCTGTGAGTGCGGGTGTCTGTCAAAAACTACTTTGGGCCCAACAATCTTCACCCCCAGCCTCTGAGTGCGCCACTTTCTTCCCATTTCTAATCTCTCCACCCGCTGAGGAAGCAAAGCCTTCCTTTAACCCAAACCTGTTTCTCTATTACCGAGCCACCTGCTGTCAACTGGCAAAAACTGGCAAAAAAGTCCAAAGGAAGGATATTTTTTTCTGTAGCCCAAAGGAGGGAACCTTCTACAAACCCCCACATCCTGGGCTGTCCAAACAGATGTGCCTTCCCTAAGAATCCTGGCCTTCCCTGATTGTGAGGGCACTAGGTAGCTCTTCTTCTCATCTTTGCGTTCTTCTCTCCTGATGATATTGGAAAGTGGGGCTACTGGGGTGAAAGGGATGTTGGGGTGGGGGTGTCCTTCCATGCAGAGGAAGGACAGATTAGATCCTGCGAGAGCAAGTTACCTCTGCAAGGTACACACCCAGCTTGTTAGAAACCCAGTGCTCTGCAGAGTGAAGCAAATGCGTATTTTGGTGTGACAGGAAGGCCAAGAGTCTTGGCCGACATTGCCCCCTGCAACTGCAGCAACCCTATGAGTAGTAAGTGGACTGCCTCAGGCAGCAGTTTGAGTAGAGGTGGGTGAGAAATTTGTTCCCTTCAAATTTCAGTGTGGATTTGCCAGATGTGCACTTCCTAAACTTAAGCATCAACTGGAGCACAATTGCAAGTTACAATTCCTTACTATCCCAAAGTTTGTGGTGGAGTTTCCCAAAAGAGCATATATTTAGGAAACTACACACAAAATAGAGGTACATTTGAAACTGTGCTTGTAAAATGTGTTTGTTTATGTATTTATTTTATTTCAATACTGCCCAATAGCCAAGGCTTTCTGGGCGGTTTACAACAATGCATTAAAAATCCAATATAAAATGCACCATAGCTTCAAGTTCTGATTGAGACCTCTCTCCTAAGGTTTAGTTACTGGCAATCTTTTAGAATGGGAACAAGCTGCACAAAAGACAGGAAACCAACAAACAACTGGGAATGGGGTGAGGTCTGGGGGAAGCACCATGGATACCTGGGGATCTGCTGGTGGGGTACCTTGGTTCCCCATCCTGAGTGTCCCCAGAGCTGCTCTAAAGATCATTTGTCACTTCCTTCCAAAGTATGGCCCTCATTCAAGGTGGCGAGACACCGGTTTTCATTGGAAACATAAACATACGTGCACACCTCCTCTCCACAGGCTCTACTGGCTTCATTAGCAACTTGCGCAGTTTCTTCTGGATCCGGGTGCAACAGTTCACCAGCCGCGAAGTCCAGGTGCAGCTCTTCCGGCATCTCCATGGCCTGTCTCTTCGCTGGCACCTGGAGCGCAAGACGGGCGAGGTGCTGCGCAGCATTGACAGAGGCACAAGCAGCATCAACAGTCTTCTCAGGTGCGTGGGCACATCTGGCCAGCGGGAAACTCATCAGCTGGGCAGCTGAACCAGAGGGACGTGCATTCACAAATTCTCTTTCGAGACCTGTTAGGGTAAGTGGTGGGGGCTTGTGTATTATCTGGCCTGACTGGTCCCCCCTTCCTATCCTGCAGCTACATCGTGTTCAGCATCTTCCCCACGGTGGCTGATATCATAATAGCTATTGTGTATTTCACCTCCATCTTCAGTGCCTGGTTTGGTCTCATCATCTTCCTCTGCATGATCCTTTACCTTGGTGAGTGCTTGGGGAGGCCAGGGGTGAGGGCCTGTGGTGAATGGGAGGGAGAGGGTGATCCACTGATCGGATTACATTGTGCCACACTCAATAATCCATTCTGGGTGGTGAGACATTAAATGCATAAAAATGCAAATTGGCAATAAAACAAGACCAGTAAAAACATGAGGTAAAATTTGATTCACTCAGCAGGAGCACATAATAAAATCAAGATTCAAATGAACAATGGGACGGCTTTGTGTGAGCCATCCCGAGGCTATATAGCAAAGGACGGCATACAAAAACTCTAAATAAATTAAATACATAAATAAAGCATTGGCTGGGTTCAGACAGCACAGTAACCTACATTCAGTGGTTGAGTTTAGATTGAGTGTGGGTTGTTGAATCATGCGCTGTTGTGGAAACATGTTGTCTTGAAGCTAACAAACTGGCTTGTTAACGATGAACAACCCATGAACCCATGTTAAGTTGCTGGGTTGTGAATTCTAGATTGTTCGTGGTTAACAAGCCATGATTTGTTAGCATGCTTGCATTCAGACAACACAATAACCCTTGTTTTGACAACCATACATAGTTCGACAACAGCCCACACTCAATTCATACTCAACCCTCAAGTGTGGTTTATTGTGTTGAGTGAAGGTCGTACGTCTTTTACATTGGCCTAAGAGTAGCTCCTAAAATATAAAGGAAAATGAAAAGGATCTTCAGCTGGTGCTGAGAAGACTGAACATTGCCACTGTCCCAGGCCCACTGGAGTTGAGACCCATAGCCCCAGAGCACCTCTCCTATGTCCCATGGGCCAAACACATCTCTCTTGGGTCCCAATCCAACCCCCTTGTGTTTCCAGAGGCTCATGCCCCTTCCTCCCAACCACCAATCATTTGTGCAGCCTTTTCCCCAATTCTGAAAGCTTGAAATGCTTCTCCCAAGGCTCAGTTGCTGGCAGGAAGAGCTTTCAGCTATTATGTAGTGGTATTTGGTGCATTTCTTACTACCCTTTTAGCCCTGCTTACCCCAAGATTTTCTCCAGCACTGAACTTGGCCCTTGAGCTTGAAAGTGATTCCTTACTCCCACCGTAGCTCCTCTCAGAACCTCCAGAGCAGGGAATGCAACTGTAGAGACTACAATATCCTGCATCCATGCTGTGATGAGTAGCAGCAAAATACATTGTGCCAAGCAAGCAGATCTGTGCTCACGTGCTTAATTTGCTTTGGCTTAGATCCCGGCTGCTTTAGTCCAACTTACATTAATGAGACTTGAGTTAGTTGTTACTGATCTGTTCCATTCATTCCAGCAGGACTGAAGCATGGCATAACTTCCTTTGGATCCAGCCCATAATTTATTATGGCCTTTATAAAGTATGCAAATGAAGCATAGCTGCACAAATTTACTCCTCTTTGGCTAGTCTTTGCATGCATGCAGATGCAGGCAAGTCTCTGCTCAGCTGCCCCTCATCTGCTGCACAGCTTCTGAGAATATCAGTAAAGCTTTGGATATATGCTTTCAAGATAGCTTCATAAGGGCCAGAAACCTGTTGGAGTGATTTAGGGCCTCTTTCTGTCCCCGCAGCACTGACAATCATACTGACTGAGTGGCGAACCAAGTACCGCCGTGAGATGAACACTTGTGACAATGCCGCCAAGTCACGTGCCATTGACTCGCTTCTCAACTTTGAGACGGTACTCAGAACCCCCGACCGCAGGGGCTGCGTGTGGGGAGGACTGGCAGGGAGGGGCGTGCCTGGGAGCCTTTTTGGGTGGCTTTCTTGCCCAGGACATCTACAATGGATGTGCTTCCAGGTTTTGGTTTAGTGGAGGATTCCACCCACTGGTTTACAACTGAAACCTCTAGCCAAGTGCTTGTCTCTTGTTTATGGAGAGAAGCTGGATGGCTTAGAGCGGGGAAAACCTATCCTGGCACCAACCAACCTCTGCTCTGGTTTGTTGCAGGTGAAATATTATAATGCTGAGAACTATGAGGCCAGGCGCTTCAACGATTCCATTGTCAAGTACCAGGTATTGCGGGACCGTGATTCAGTGACGGGGGTTGTTTACTCCATGTCCGTTGGATGCATTCTTTGCCCGGCGTGCTCTTCTCCATGGGGAAGCCCTCTCCCTTCCCCGTCCCCCCTTCACCACCACTGCTGTGTGCACATTGAATATCCATGCGCGCACACAGGGCAGTTTGGATGGGAAGGACTGGACCTGGTTCCTATGGAGGACAAATGCTGCCAATAAATACACAGAAGGAAAACTGGGAGTTGGGAAGGATCCTGATAATGTCAGAGGGGCTAAACTATGGAGGTCCCAAGGGGTTCCCGTTCTCTGACACTGGCATGTTGGTCAAAGGCCATCCTGCCATCAACCCTCGGATGCTGCTCTCCTCTTGGATTTGCCGCCTGAGACGTGGGGGCAGCAGGAGCAAAGAGGATCTGGGGTGTGGGGGAATCTGGGCTGGCTCACTGCCAAAAATGCAGAGCAGGGAGAAGAACCTTCATACGCTGGACCATTTCTTTCCTGTAAGTGGGGAAGCAGCCATATTAGGAGGAGATGGGCTTGGTTTCCAAATAGTATGAAGTGGGCAGACATCAGGCAGACCAGATCTATCCCTATTTTTGTTGTTATTATTTTTGTTACTATAACTCCAAGGCTGGCCAACCAGAGCCAGGCAAAAAGACATACACGTAACATTCAAGAGCATGACACCTCTGAGCATGTTCTGAGCTTCGAAATATGTTTCAGCTATCAAATCCATCAGTACACCAATCCCCTCTGGTTGCCCCAAGTTTTCTTCAGCTCAGCAAAGTAATTCAGGGGAAGGGAGGAGTTAGTCTGTCATTACTATCATTAAACAACTGGAAATCAAGATGCTCTTGCTGATCTACTGCAAATCATCTCTAGGTCTACCAGTAGCATCCCAGTCTACAGTCAGCCTGCTGCTTGGTGTGGAGGACTGTGGGAAGTCCTCCACACCAGGGATGCGCCTCTTCTCCACTGTCTTGCAGTGGGGCAGGGAAGCCCTCCTTCTTTCCCTCCCTTGAGGCAGCTGCCCAGCTATGTGGAGACAGAGGGGAGCCAGGACCTGCTGGGTGTGGGCCGTGCTGGAGCAGCCTGCTGCCTTCTCTCCTCTCGGCAGGACTCGGAATGGAAAGTCAATGCATCGCTGGCCCTGTTGAACCAAACGCAGAACCTGGTGATCGGGCTGGGGCTACTGACTGGATCCCTGCTGTGTGCTTACTATGTAACCAAGAAGAAGCTCCAGGTAAGTCCTTTCCCATGGCAGGCCCAGAGGAATCGGTAGGTTGGGGCATCTCTGGCTACAAGGAACCCACAGCCGAGAGCCAGCGTACAGGTCACCGAAGGAGGTGGCTTTCAGCAGAGTCAGGCCGTTGATCCATCTAACCCAGTATGGCCCTTTACGGTTTCAGGTAGGAGCCTTTCCCAACCTAGCTAGTGATGCGAGGGATCAAACCCAGGACCCCTGCCTGTGCTCTACCACTGAGCTGCAGCCACAGTTGGTGGGGTAGCTGACGACATACATTGACCTCCATTATATGGAGCCTTTCCGCGCCATTGCTGACCAACACCCCAAAAAGGGGCGACCAGGCCGTTCTCCACACAACAGGGCCAATCGTCATGGAGAAATGGAGAGCCGATATCTAGATTCGGACAACACGATAGCTCACACCTCAAGGTTATTGTGTTGTCTGAACAGAAATGAGACAACAAGCCATCATGAACACCCCACAGTTGGCTGCCCGGTAACCTAGTATGGGTTTTCTTCATGGGTTGTTTGTAAATAACAGGCCATAGCTTGTGAGTGCAGCTGGGTTCAGCCGACACGGTAACTCATGTTCCAGTGAGAACGCATGGCTCAGTGACAACTTCACACACCAGAATTAAAGTTTGTGAGGCAGTTTATGAAACAAATTAAGAACTGTGCATAAAAACGTATACAATTGGAACGGTTGCTATAGAAACGTGTGCGTTTGGGAAACATGCACACAAATGCGTTCACTTGAAAAAATGCATATAAAATGTGCACGACAGCATTCTCATGTAGACAGGAAATATTTTGAAATCTGTGGAAATGGAAGGGGACCAACTTAGCAGAGGAAGCACAAGAGCCTAAATGAAATCAAGCTTAAGAGATTAATCCATCCCTAGTGCTCCTTGATGGCTCTGGGGCAGCTGCCGTGCACTTTTAGGGACCAACCACGCTGGGAAGGCGTGCAGGTGGGGTGTTCTGCAGAGAACTTGCCACTTCAGAGCCATGAAAAAGGCTTGCAGGAGCTGCCACATTCAGTGATGAAACATTTGCTTTGCACCCAGAAGGTCCCAGTTTCAATCCGTAGCTTCTCCAGGTAGGGTTAAGGTAGAATGTGTTTATTTATTAGATTGATATCTAACATATCAGAATCCTTCCTGAAATCCTTGAGATCTGCTGCCAGTCAGTGTTGATAATACTGGGCTAGATGGATCAATGGCCTGATTCATCTTAAGGCAGCTCCCTGTGTTCCTAGACTGCAGAACGGAGCCGGATTAAGTCATGGAATGGGGTGGCTGCAGTCGGCACTGGGGGCAGGGAGCATAAGAGCTCTGCTGTTTCTGAAACGTCTTTGTGAAGGTTAATTAGTGTTTGCTGAATTCAGTGCTGAGTGGAAATTGAAGCTAGTGCTTGACTCATGCTGAGAAAAATGGGCAGTCGAGGGTGCCGGAGATTAAAACAAAAACAGATTGAGGAATTAAACCTCTCTTTGAGAACAAAAGCAATTGCAAACAAGAGCTGAGGCTGGAAAAGGTTTCTCACCAATTAGGAGATCTAAAGAGAGAGAGAGCGAGCAAGCAAGTGAGTGAGCATGCATGTGTATCTGCGAGCACTGGAGGTGGGGGTGGACCTATCCAAATGGCAGCTAGCTTCCACTGACATCAGAGGAAAGAGGCCAACGTGTTTTGGGTTTGTATTCCAGATGTGAAGGCACACATTCCCACATGGAGTGCAGTTCTAATGGCAGGGGAGAGCAGGGAGATGTTCCTTTTCAGAAACAGAGGAGGAGGTGAAGGAAGGATGTAGGTATAAAATTGTAAGTGGGCTGGGGCAGCAAATTGAATGTGAATTATAAGGAAAGAGAGCTTAGTTAAGTGCCAAGGAAAGCATCTCTTGTCATATGGAAACTGTTCAGTTGCTTAGCCATGCTGCACTCAGTCAGCTTTGCTGTGGAGCAGTGCAGCCTATGGGCTTTATGCACAGCCTGGCCTGGCCTCAGCATTTGAGGTTTTGGGAAGATCTCTCCCCCTATCCCTTGCCAAATCGGTTTGGCTCGTGGACTTGGGCTGCCTTCCATTCCCTTACCGCAGGGACAGGGAACCTGTGGTCCAGGAGATGCCATTGGACTGCATCCCTCCCATCCTCCCCTTGGCCTTGTGAGCTGGACTTAATGAGAGTAGGAGTCCCAGCACCATCTGGAGGGCCACATGTCCCCCATTGCCTGCTGGAAGAGTGCATGTCATTGCTTCCTTGCATGGGTTACTTGCAACTACTTCTACATATGGTTTGGCCTTGTTGTAACTGGGATGGAGAAGCTATATCTGGGCTGCCGCTCTTCAGATTTTTAGACTCTTCTGTGCCAAACAGATGGCAAAATTAAAATCTCTTCTCATAAAAAATCAGCGTACCAGGGAGAAGGTTCTACCATATTCCTCTCCTTGATAGCTAGTTTTCTGTGGAGAAGAGTTTTTTTGTACGGAGGAGTAATCACACATGCACTGCACCACCGTAAGTCTGAAACACAGAGAGCTCTTGTGCAGCCCGGACACATGGAATGGGCCAACACAGAAGTTACATGGAATCCCTTCCTTCCCGAAAGCTGCTTTGGCAGGCTTCCGTTCCAGCAGAGGGAGGATAGGCAGGGAAAAGAGACTGCTTAATTCTTTTCACCCACATTTTAGCTCACACACACAGAGACCAACTGCTTTTCTTTTCTCAGAGCACAAGTGCAGAGACCTGGGGTAGCATCCAGGGTAGGCATGATTGGGTAATTGGCACAAAGCTTAGCACAGGCCCGCTGACAAGCCCCCCCCCCCCCCCGCCGGCATGTTCCTCCTGTTCTTCATCACACTCGGCTTGCTTCCCTGCCTCTTGCTCTGGCCTCTTCAGCGGTAACAGGGAGAAGAGGAGCAGCGGACGGCACCACTGGCATGTGCAGTGGTCTCTCTGCCTTTCAAGCAAGCAGGTGGGGGCAATGTGGGGAGAGAGGAGGAGGGTGACAAGGCACAGTGGCCAATGAGAAGGGAGCTCGACAGAGGGAGGGAACTGTCTGAGGGTACCTTGCACAACCTGGAGCTGGCGCAGGGGAGACCTCTTACCTCTCGCATGGGGGTTGACAGCAGCTTACAAGAAGAGTTATGATTCTGAACAAAAGACCAGGAGATGATGAGTTAAACGATATACTTTCCACTTGCAAAACAGACAACCGGGCTTTTGATGGAGAAAGAAAAGTATGGCCATAAGAACTAAGTTGCATCTGAATTGCATAGAGCATCCTTCCCCAATCTGGAACCCCCCCCCCCCGAAGTTTTGGACTACAGTTCCCAGCATTCCTGGCCATTGGCCATGCTGGCTAGGGTCGATGAGAGTTGAAACTTAAAACATCTTGGGGATATCAGAATGGGAAAGGGCAGCACAGAGTCCCTCTCCCCAACACATTTGTTTATACATTATTTGTAGCAAATGTCCTTGTGTGTGGTGCATAACCAACCCGACATATGGTCCTACTTTGCTCAAGGAGATTGAGAAACAAAGAATTAAGAGAAAAATAAGATTTTGGTCCTACATAGAGCAGACCCATTGAAATGAATAAGACTTGAGTTAACTATATTTAACTTAAGTTTCATTTATTTCAGTGCCCCTACTCTATGCAAGACTAATATTTTATACTAGCCTTACCTTCTTTAACTTTTGTTTCAATGACATAAGTTTCTGGTCCTTATGATTCAGGGGTGAATGGACTGTGTGTGTGCAGAAGAGTCTGTAGTAGTCTTATAAAGAGGAACTTGGAGTCTTTATAAAGTGGGTCTTCGAGTGGTCTTGAAGCACATACGGTGCACAAGTCTTTGTCCCATCACGTGGATCCATCTCAGCCTTTTATCATTCTGCCCTGAAAATCCCTGAACCACTTTTCCATAGCATGTATTTGTTATTTTTCTGATCATAAATGTGATTTTTTCCCATGATAAACTCTTTTTGATTGTCAGTAAAAACACTTCTCTCTGCTTCTCAGTAGTGTCTTGAGTAAAAGGAACCCATTTTGCTGACCTGGGGCTAACGGTGCTTTTGGGAGACATTTCATATTCAAGACATAAATCCACATTTTCAGCACATGAAGCTGAAAGTGAAAACTCCCCCTTGTAGAGTCACATGTAGAGTTACTGCCAACTGGGCAAGAGTGGTGCACCTAATGACTAGTGAACATCTGTTGATTTATTCTCCCTTGGGAACAAACCTCATTTCTGAGCAAGAACATCGGACTCTGAGATGGTGGTGAGATCCAAGTGTGTCTTGCTGTAAAGCTGCCTCCAGGTTGCCCTGTATGAGCGTGTCCATTACACTTTTCTACAAAAGCTCAGACCACGGCTTCCAAAGTGCTTCCGTGCTCTGCCTCAGGCGCTGACCCACATCTCTGTTCCCTCCAGGTGGGTGATTATGTTCTCTTTGGCACTTACATCATCCAGCTGTACACCCCACTGAACTGGTTTGGCACCTATTACAGGTAACCTTCATGGGTAGGCTATTCTTTTCTTCTCTGGTGGTTAACAATTTGAGTGATGCAAAGAGGAGAATGTAGATGGCATTTGAGAAGGCAAGAATTGGAAGATACACAGAAGCAAACTGATCCTGGTATTGTGCCTGTGCTTCTTCCTCCGAGATGCAGATTCGTCTGTAACAGGAAAGCACCATGCAACTCAGTTTTTATGTAAGGAATACCCACACGTTGTTTAGCATATGTAAGGGGTGAATGAGCTCGTTGCCACCTACTCACTCGCTGTTTCCACTTAATGTCTTCTTCTTTGAACAACTCAGGAAGACCTCAGCAGCCCAGAATTCCAGGTTCAGTCATCATAGGTTGTTTATCTCATATTCCTGGGTTGATTACAAAAGTGGAAAAGTTGTGGAAGCAGCGAGTGTGTGGGAGGCAATGCGCTCGTGCTCACCTTCATGGACCTGACCAGCTCTGGGTTGCTTAACCAGGTGACGGAGGATTACGAATTCTGTGCCGTAATCCCTAGAGGGAACCACTTGTCAGTTAGGTTCAAGCAGGGATGTATGAAGCAAACGAGGCAAGAAGCCGGAACAAAAAGGCAGGGGTGAGAGGAGAGACTAATGGAAGGAGTTGAGACTTTTTTAAAGTTTATTTTGAGAGAATGCAACCTCTTTATCGTGCAAGAAAGGAAGCTTACCAAAAATGTGATGGCACTTTACAACTGTATCATCAGTAGGGCAGAGATGTGTTGGGGTTAAGAGATTATAGGCTAGAATAGCCCGTAACCCATACCTTGTTAATATTTTGCTTGTAAACTAGAAGATGGCTTCTAAAAATCTGGATGAATCCTGATAATTTATTAAGTGAGCCAGAAAACATTTCTGAATTAAAAATAAATAGTGGAAGAGAAGTAATATATGCAATAAAATACATACTAGATGTACAGGGTAGATTAAAAATATTTTAAGTGGAAACATGCACAGTATAGCAATACAGAAATGGCCCCATACTTTCATAACAGTTTCTTCTCTGCTTTTAGAGTAGACTGATACTAATAAGAAACTGAATATTAAGTTCAGAACCGAGTTCCTTACAAGTATCAGTCACAAAGCACAGATGCTTGTTACCCATGTCGTTTCCCTCCAACAAATTTTTTCGCTCCTCCTCGCATGGATTCCCTTTGCAGAAACACTTAACAACTCCAGCAATGAAAAAGGAATGTCACAAAGTCTACAAAGTAAACTTTAAACACAAAGTTTAAAATCAGGCTTGGAAAATTGAAACCTGCCTTGTTGATTGTTCATTTGTATCATGAAAGGTTTCTCTGAGAGCATATGGTTTGCCATCTCGCATCCCCTTCCTCTGAAGTTTCAGTGATTGCTACAACGGAGGTGTGACTTCATTTAGTGTGTGGGCGTGTGCTAACCATTTGCAAATGTTTGCTGGTGGCGAGGAGGCATGGCAGGTGGGGCTTGATTTCATGCTTGCGGTCTAATTGAGGGACATCTTGGAGTATGATTGCGAGGCTGCCCTCACTCCCGTCTCTTTCCTTACCAGAGAGAGAACGGGTTAGTCTCATGCCTCCCCCTTGTACCTAGTTGCCTGTAAAGGATGCAGCAGAGGCTCCGTTTTTCCTTTTCAGAATGATCCAAAGTGCCTTTGTCGACATGGAGAACATGTTTGAACTCTTCAACGAGGAGCAGGAGGTAGGTCCACAGCTCACTTGTGCAGCACCGGATCTGCTCTGTAGGATCTGCATCCTACCCATATCCATGGGGGCAGAGGAAACTGCCTTACTGTATACTAAGTCAGGACGTTGGCCCATGTAGCCAAAGACTAGCAGTGTCTCTCCAGGGTTTCGGGCAGGACTCCTCCTAATCCCAGTCTGGAGATGCTGGGCATTGAACTGGGGCCCTTCTGGATGCAAAGCAGGTGCTTTGCCGCTGAGCGATGGCCCCTCACACTGGGAGTTGTGCCTCCACATAGCTTGTAACTGTGGTCTCTGGGGAAAAAGAGAAACTCCCTGGCCAGTCAGTTGGGATGGTCCAGCTCTTGGTTAGCCCAGCACCAGCCACATAGCTCACAGGTGTGTTAACTTGCAGGTAAAGGATGAACCAGGTGCTGGGGATCTTCGGCTTCTGGCAGGACGCATGGAGTTTGAAAACATCCACTTTGGCTATGTGGATGGGTAAGGAGGAACATGGGGAGAAGTTGGCAGCAGCAGATGTGTGTAATGGGTCAGGAAATGAGGGACTGACGAGAAGTGAAGGGGCTGAGGAAGGCAACCTGGGGAGGTGGAAAAGGCCCAGAGGCCGCAGTAAAGTATGTGGATGCGAGGGCACAGACAGGAGGTGTGTTGCATCTTGCTGAACTTTCCAGTGGAATTCAGTCAAGTGAATCAAAGGCCTGTGGGTATGAAGATGATTGGCAGCTCCTTCCTGACCTAGAACCAGTGGAAACCAGGTCATATTCCTGGGAACCAGAAGTATCCATTTCAGAAGAACACCGAACCCAGTATAAACCAAGGCTCTTAGGCCTCTCTCCTGGCTCAGGAAACAGGTCTGCACCACAGCCACCCTTGCTAAGGGGCTGCTTCACCACTCCACACGTTGGCCGGGCCCCTGGCCAGGGCTGTGGCGTGAGTTGGAGGAGCACTCCTCCACTCTGTACCTCCGCTGGGGCACTTTCACCCCCTGGGGGAGGAACCAAGGCAGGTGAAGCACTTAGTTCTCTGCCTCTGCTTCCAGTTGATAGGAGGACTGGTATCCTAATTAAGGAGACTATTCCTCTTAAAAATAAGGGTGGATTCTTCCTCCTGCCTACCCTTGCCCCCTATAGCTGCATGGGATGGCAACTTGGGGCCCTAAGAGGGAGTCCGAGCCTGGTGCACTGGCGGTTCCCCGTCCTTGTTAGGAAAGCTGTATATATCCTGGTCATAGTTATACTTAGACCTTCCGCAGAGCATCCTGTTTTACTCTGGGTGGTACTTGGAAGGAAAATTATGCCTGAGACAGGCTGGGTCTGGGGGTGAAGTATGGTGTAGTGGTTAGCGTCCGTCCAGCTGGGACACTGGAGAGCTTACCTCTGGTACCCACCTAGCCACAAAGTTCACTGGGCCAGTTTGCAGCTGGGATTGGATACCATGCTATCCACAAACCACGCAGTGGGGATACTTGCCTGTGGCCCCGCAATGTGCCGCCCTCGATCTCCCCCCGGAATCCCTGTGTCCAGAAGGGCTTACCGCAGCAACCGTGCAGGGGGAAGCAGGGTTTGCTTGAGGCAGCTGTCCAGCCAGCTGACATGATCCCTACTTCCCACCGTGGCAGAGAGCACTTTTAAGTGTGCTGCAGTGGTGGAGGGCAGAGATCAGAGAAGCCGCATCGATAGCCAGCTGAGACATTCCCAGCTCCAGTGCACCTTGTTGCAACAGGAAGGGGGAAAGCCTCTGACAGCCCCCTCCGGGTGCCGCTTGGGCACTCTGGGGGCAACTGGCAGTGGCCCATGCCTGCCAGCAGTTTGGCAAAAGTGACGAGTGGTTTGCATGTCGTTGGGCTTGATCCATGATGGCTTGTGCTGCCCAGGTTTGGATGGCACAACAACCCAGTGTGAGTAAAACCCACCCAAGGTTTGGCTCTCAGGGTCACCTATAAGCCAAAATTAAGTCACTGTGACAAACCTGTCCCAGGTTTGCACAACACGAAAAATTACCGTGCCTTCTAAACAATGGTATGTGGTTGTTTCATGTGCTCAGAGCCACAGTGGGCTAGCGTGTTGTCTGAACCCGTGATGGCTTAATTTTGACTTATAAGCCATCCTGACACCTAGGACTCATAGCTGGGTCTATTTCACCCACGAGCAGTTGTCATGTCACCCAAACCTGAATTACCTGGCTCATGGTGGGTCGAGCCAGGCAGCTGCAGAGCTGCCTGCCACTCTTGCCAAGTGGCTACCTTGTGGCAGCAATCGCCAGCTGCCTCAAAAGTGCCCAAGAAGCATTTGGAGTGGCTGGCAAAGGCTTTCTGTGGGGAGAAATGCAAAACAGACAGCTAACTCCCTCCCCCCAAAAAGTAGAGTGTCCTGCTGAGAAAGGGGGGAGCATCCTGTTTTTACAAATAAAGACCTCTCAGTGCCTTGCAAGGCTCTGTTGGTTGGCATCTCGCACTCGTCACAGGCTGGAAAAGGGGGGAAATACTTGCTGGCAGCCTGGGGTAGGCACTGCAAGGATGGATACCTTCTTGAATTGATTGTTTTGGGTAGGGCGGCTTCTAAACTACTTTACATAACTTGCTATGCAATGTGGCTTATGTCATGCAACCCCTCCCACTGACTCTCAACCTAAACCTACCTTGCAGGGTTGTTGTGAGGATAAGATGGAGAGGAGGAGGAGGACTATGTAAGTCACCCTGGGTTCCTTGCAAGAGGAGGAAAAACATATCCAAGTAGTAAAGTGCATGCAAGCATGCATCTCTGTGCTCTTTTGTAATGTCACAGAGTGCCTTAGTTTATAATCTGGAAGGGGGTTCTTGAGCCTCACATTTGGGGTGAGTACAGCAGGGCGAAGGAAGATGAGGGTGGATGGTCTGAGAAAGGGCTGACTTCTCCCTTGTGTCCGCTCTCCCCACAGAAGGGAAATCCTGCATGATGTGTCCTTCACAGTGATGCCTGGGCAGACCGTAGCACTGGTAAGGAGACATACACGTACCCCGGTGGGGGGGGGGGCTCATAGCCCTGCCTTTCCCACCCCCATTTTTTGCATCTCTGAAATGAGGGCAGCAACAGAACCCCAAAAGGGACCCTCAAGCTTCCCCCTGCCCTCCACTTCTCCCCACTGGCTCTGTCCCTATTGACCTCCTCCTACTCTCTCTCTGCCCAGGTGGGACCCACTGGCTCAGGAAAGACCACTATTCTTCGCTTGCTTTTCCGTTTCTATGACGTCTGGGGAGGCTGCATCCGGATTGATGGGCAAGATATCTCCAAGGTAACAGGGATGCCACACTGGGAGAATACATGCAGGCTGTGCGCACAAGGTGTCCGACGGCGGGCCCGTTGTCCATCATGGAGCAAGGAGTGGAGGCAAGATTCATGTTGCTGGGGGAGCGGGGAGGAGCTGTACCCGGAGCAGCAGGTTCTCTCAAGAGAAGATCCCAGCCCTGTCTCAGCCTTTGCGGCTTGCAAAGCCCAGGACACAGTGGAATCCAGGGCACTGTGTGCAGTTTTGGTTGCCCTGGAACAGATGAGCAAATTGTAAAACTAGAGAAGAAGCAGAAAAAGACACTCCACTTCTAAAAAATGGGGTGATGAGCCAGTGACAGCCTCTTGGGCACATGGCGAAGTGGGCAACTGGAGAGGCTGTCACCTTGGAGAATGCAAAGTGCACGTTCCAGGGGAAAGGTTGGTGAGAGCCACAGCAAGTGAACAAGAGCGCACAATCGCAGCTGGGAGAGGAGGTGGAGCATTTGCTGGCGTGATAGCCTTTCCGAAAAAGTTAGGATCTTGCAGCGTTCTAATCCAGGCACACAGCACAATTCTGTACATAGTGACTTAGAAGTCGCACTCTCTGTGTTCAGTGAGGAGCACTGGACGGAAACCTTCGGTTGCTGGTGGCTGCCTGCTGTGGCAAAAGGCACTCCCACACGCACACACGGCACTGTGTAGCTTTGGCATAGGAAAAGCCCAGAGGAACTCCCTGACCCCTCGGGGCACGTGGCACAAGGTTCTCGGGCTGTGGCAGGCACATTCGGGTCAGTCACACATGTTTTCCTACTCCTCAGGACTTCTGCTGCCACAGTCCATCTGCTTTATTCCTGGTTCATGTTCATTGCCCCCAGCAAAGCAGAGACGTGTGATTCCACTTAAGAGAAGGATGAAAGGGTTGTGCTGGGGGAGGCAGAACTGCAGTGTGCCTCCACCCCGACCCCCCTCCTTTTGCCACCCAGGCTCACGGAGGAGGGGCTACAGGGAGTGTACACACACACACACACACACACACACCCCCTAAGTGTTCCATCTGTGTCCCAGGATTTCAAGGAGTTTGGAAGGCTGAAGGGGAGGATTGAAAGGATGGCTGTTCCTTTAATATGTTCTTTAATTTTTAACTATTCTGCAAGGTTCTTTTTAGTTGATCACTGTAGCAATATGCAGTTGGGTTTAAATAGCAGAGGACTTAACAGGAGCAATTGAATGCAGTTTGAAAGATGCAGCACTCCCTGTGAATGCACACAAGACATTTCTTTTGTCGCTTCCCCTTCTCCCTATTTTCAAATAACAAAAACCTACAAAACCTTTTTACAAGAGGCAATGTAAGAGTGAGTGTACATCCCACAGGCTGTGATTCCTCTTTCAAAGTGCCTGAAACCCTTTTGATTTAAACCATCATCCCTGTCTAATTGGTCTCTGTCTTTCTCCTACTGCCTGCATATACTATAAGAGGAAGGACCCAGACATCAAGTTCCCTATAACAGCTTTCCCAACCTGTCAGAGCAATAGTTCCCTAGAGAGGTGGTGGGCTCTCCCACACTAGAGACATTCAACAAGAGACTGGACAATCATCTGAGTGGGATGGTGTGAATTGGTGTCCTCCACTGAGCAACGGGTTGGACCCGATGACCTTCTAGGCCCCTTCTAACTCTACTATTCTATAATTCTATGCTTCTATAAACATGGTACCCTCCAGTTTTGAACTTCAAGTCCCAGCATTCCTGGCCATTGGCCATGCTAGGTGGTGCTGATGGGAGTGGAAGTCTGAAAACATGGTGGGCACTAGGTTGGAGGAGGTGACTCTAGAGCAGGGGTCTCAAACTCAACTTACCTGGGGGCCGCTGGAAGTAGAGTCTGGGTGAGACTGGGCCACATCAAGCGGTGGTGGTGGGCTGCTCATCCCGCGTCGCTCCCGGAGGCCGGCCCAGGCGCCGCCGGTGCTTTGAAGGCCGCAGGGCCCCTCCCCCATGCGCTGCCCGTCCCGGCAATTGGCCCATGGGCCGCGAGTTTGAGACCCCTGCTCTAGAGGGAATATAAGTGATGCTGAGCAAGATAAGACTAAATAACAGAATGTATCCTGCACCCTGCAAGGGCCTGACATTCTGAGTGACTCGTATGCCCTAAAATGCAGAGTTGCCCCAAACACCACCCACACTCTGCATTCTCCCCTGGGTCCTTTGCTGCTACCTAATCTGGGGATTTCCTGGTGGGTTCCTTCCCCGGTTCATCATGATGACAGTACATCCTAAGCTCAGGCCAAGCTCCCCATAAGACCTTGGGCCCGTTTTGGGGCACTGGCCCTTTTCCAACCGCTAACCTTGGTGCCGTGTGCATTCATGCTCTCTCTCTTGCTCACCCCTCCTAATGCCGGCAGGTGAAGCAGGTCTCATTGCGCTCGCACATCGGTGTGGTGCCTCAGGACACCGTTCTCTTCAACGATACCATTCGCAACAACATCCGCTACGGCCGTATTGATGCCACCAATGAAGAGGTGATAGAGGCAGCGATCACTGCTAACATCCATGAACGTATCCTCACCTTCCCGGATGGTGAGAGCCACTTCTCTGGTTCATCCACTCCTCTTCCCTAAGGCCTCTAACCTACCCTGTGGGTGGCGGTGGCAGCTGTTATAAGGAGGCCCCCTGTCCTGCATAGGCAGAGCAGCAGCTTGGTTCAATCCCTGGCATATCCAGGGAGGGCTAAGGAGGTACCCTGGGGTACCACAGAAGGTCAGTATGGAGATAGTCCAAGGCTAGATGGTCCAATGATCTAGCCTGGCGTAAGGCAGCTTCCGATGTTCCTATGGAATCTGAACCGAAAGGGCTTGTTCCCCATGGCTTACCCTTTCCCTCCAAGGAAATAAAGCCAGACTTTGGACTTTCAGGGGAGTGTGGATTGTCACAGGACTCTCCTAATTTCAAATATAATCCTTTTAAAAGTGTTAAAAAAACTAGAAAATAAATGACCATGAAGGTCCAGCCCTCCACCTATAAGCCCAATAGAGTACTCGAAGGAGGGCCTTCTCTGTGATGGCGCCCTGACTATGGAATGCGCTCCCTAGAGAGGTCCACCTGGCACCGTCATTATATGCTTTTCGGCACCAGGTCAAGACCTTTTTATTTGGCCAATATTTTACCACATAGTAATTTTAATTGTGAAATGACTTATTTAGTTTATTTTAAATGATGCTCAGTATGGAGTAGTTAATTTATCTTATTTTATTGAAGTCTGGAATAATGTTGTAAGCCATCCAGAGACGACAATAATGAACGGCCTAAAATTTTTTAAAATAAATAAAATATGAGCAGTTGATTTTGGTTTAGTCTAGCAAAACTAGACTAAACAAAAGAGACCTTGGCCAATGAGAAAAACAAGACTGGCTTTATAGGCTATGCTTTAAGAGTTGTCTCATTTCCTTTTCCTATTGCCAGGCGCCCCAACTAGTAGTCTTTGGGACTGCTAAGCCTGTTTCTGGAGATAGCAACTAATCCTCTTTGGCAGCAAGACTGGGAGGTCTAGCAAGGAGCCAGAAACAGCCCTAGATTTACAGCGCTTTGCCAGTCTGCCCTCCTCGCGTAGCATTCTGCTCCTCCCCATCTGTGTGTGTCTGGCAGGTTATGATACGCAGGTTGGCGAGCGGGGCCTGAAGCTGAGCGGTGGGGAGAAGCAGCGCGTCGCCATTGCTCGCACCATCTTAAAGAACCCCCAGATCATCATCTTTGATGAGGTAAAGGACAAGAATCACTGGCTGTACTATTGGTAGCACTATCAGTTCCCCAAGTGGCAGCCAGTATGTGGCCCAGATGGGAAGGTGTCAGTAGGCCGGAGTGAACCCCAGAGTGTTGCAGAAGTGTCAGCAGACCTTTAGGGGGAAGCCCTCTGGGGGGGAAGAATCCATCCCTAAAGAGCCCAGTGGGGACTGTGTGAGCCCAGTGGACCCAGAAGGAAAAAACAGGAAGGAGGGAGGGCGGGAATGACCCCCGTCCCCACTGAGGTGCTTTGTTGCTGGTCCTCCTTGGAATTCCCTTTCCCCGCTTTCCTTTGCCCTCTCTGCATCCTCTCTCCTGCAGCCTAGTCTCTGGAAACAGTTGGGAGGAGGTTAATGCTTCAGCTGGATGCATGTGGGAGTCTCCCTCCCTCTCCACCATGGCACCTGGCGACCCGATCATCTCCCTTGTAGTTTCTTTTGACCCAGTGGGACCTCCCCACTTCTCCTGTCAGTGCTCTCGGCAAGGGCAAGAACACGAAGGTCCCCCCTCAGGCTTTGTGCCATGGTGCCACCATGCTCTGGGTAACTTGCAAGTGCAGATCTTGAGTGTGAGGGTCCATGACCTTTGCTCCTCTGTCCGACTGTACCCGGATCTTACAGGCAACATCAGCTCTGGACACCAAGACTGAGAGAATCATCCAGGCATCCCTGGCTAAGGTTTGTGCAAACCGCACCACCATCATTGTGGCTCACAGGTAAGTTGAAGTATCCTGCCAAAGGAACTTTATGGGGGGAACAGTTGCCACAGCCAGTGGGATAGGTTGGTAATTGTAGACCCTGGACATAATGGTCGTATGCCCTCCACCCCCCACTGTTTAGACAGCCATGTGAATTATTTCAGTTGCAAAAGAGAGAACTAATGTTTTCATTGTCTTTCTACTCATGTGCGTGTGCTTTCTCTCACACACACACCACCACAATTCTCTGCTTTACAGCTGGTTTTATATTCCTGATACATTAGAGAAGAAAATTCCTTGTGCTAAACCTGATAAAAATTAGAATACTCTGAGCATGTGCTGTCTTGCATTTTAAATTCACTGATTCATGGCAGCATCCTAACTAAGGGTCTAAAATGGAAGTTTGCCTTTGCTGCCCTGACTCTAAGGAGTGCATACTGTTTCGTTCTAGAGAAGGGCAGTCTATTTAAAAGTAAACGATAAACATCTATAACCGCAGGCATCCTGGCTACTCTGAAAATTAAACAGCAAGAAAGAACACTGTGATGCTCTGGTCCAGATGTTGATGCCACTGTCTGGGTGGGCCTTTGGGCACCCTCGGGCTACCAGGCCCTGGGCTTTGGCCCCCAATTCCAGCTCTAGCCACATCACTGGCCAGAGTTTTAGCACAGGGCTGAACAACCTTGGAGATCTGTCAGGGATGAGAACTGGCTAGAGTAGGCATCCTCCAGATCTGTTGGACATCTCCCAGTATCCCCCCTGGGATGAGGCCTGCTGTTGAATGGCCACGTAAGACCAAACTCTTCTGGAGGGTGCCAAGCTGGAGTAGGGGATCCAAAGGACAGGAGCACCAGTAGTGTGGCGGAACCCGGGCAGATGTGGCACTGGTACTTCTTTATTAATGGGGATGTGGAGGTCATGGCTCACGCCTCCAGAATTCCCTGTCTCCTCCAAGTTGCAATTCTTGGAATGCTTGGGGCACAAGGGAAGAATGAATTTTCTCAACAATATATTGTTCCCCCTGAGTTACTTTGGAGGCTACGTGGTGTTCAGTGAGCAATTAAGAGCTATTCATGTTACAAAAGATTTGCTGAAAAATCCTAGAATTAATATGGATCAGAACAGCTGCCTGCATTTCTGGACCCTTCCTGAGGCATGGGTATGGGGACTGTCATGATGAGTGCCTGCACTTCAGTGTCTGCTGTAAACCTCTAAGAAAGCCTTCCCGGCCATGCAGATTTGAAAGCAATCCTTGGTAGTAGTGCTTGTAATGATGTCAAGATGCAGAGCGGTGGTAGTCCTAGAACGGGGTCTGCTGCTTTGCCCTTGTTCATTGTTGCAGCAGAGAATTGTTGCATCTCTGGCTGTTCCTCCAGCTTGCATTTTGGCTGGACTGCCTGGTCTCCCAGCAACTCGCCGTTCTTCCCTCTCCCTGCCCTTTTTTCAGAACCTGGGAAAAGGGGCAAGTGAATGCTTTTGGCCCCAACCCTCCAGAGGCCCCATGCTTCACCTAAGCACTGAACGTGAGCTGAAGACTGGCAGGGTGTGGGGGTGAGGCAGTTGTGTGTGGCAGTACGCCAAGTCAGAATGGTGTTTGAGTGTCCATTCATGCTGGTGAGTCAGCAAGCTAAGACTCTGCAGAGCAGCTCTCCATGGAGCCCGGCACATCTTGTGCCTGCCTTTGCTATCTGCCCAGGGCTGAACACATTCTCCGTGCTGCTGCCGCTCCGCCCGTTTAAGGCCGCTTCATGGCAGCACAGTTGCCTATAGGTAGCTCTTGCATCAGGGCCGGTTTTTGTTGGAGAGGACAGAGCTTCATCCTGTGCTCTCCACTGGGTCGAGGGGGCAGGGATCATTCTGGCTTCTTGGTAACAGCCGTAGTGATGGCAGTTTCTTTGCAGATTGTCCACTGTGGTTAAGGCGGATCAAATCCTCGTCATCCGGGAGGGCCGAGTGGTGGAGCGAGGAAGGTAAAGTTGTGGACTGTGCCCAGGGCTGCATGCATTCCATGATAAATAAAGGCTGTGTTTAGGTATTGCAAGCAAGTACTCTGTATAAATTATACAAATAGAGACAACTTGCATAACGTCTTTATTTTGCATAATTTATCCCCATGTTATTAGTCATGGAAAGTGGCAGCAAGTGACACAAAACACTGGAGCCAAACCATCAGAAGTCCCTGGCTTCTTGGATTTCAGTCTGTTCATATTTAACCATATCTTTATAACCCCAAAGGACTAGAAACTTACTCCTTCTTTAAAAAGAAAGCTGAGAATTCTTGCATAAAGACTCAGAGACACTGAGTACCTTTTTTTTTTTTTTTTGGAATAACGCTATTTTCCTCCTAACCCGGCTTCAACTGGAGATCCCTTTCACAGGACCGAAGGGACGAAAGATGTATAAGCACCCACTCTTTAACACCCATCTGGCCAGTTCGCACAGGAGAGGGAAAACAAAAGCCGCCTCCGTGTTCCAGCATTCCATCTGCTTTCATGCCAAACTCCCACACGCCACCTGCCAAGTCTTTGCCACTCCATCCTACTCCAAGGGTGACCAATATGGAGATATTTAAACTGCAGAAATCTGCAACTGACATGCTGAGTAGCTTTTGCCTACTTGGAGGCAACCCTGCATCTTGGAGGGTTCACCATAAACCTGCCTTTTATCTTTGGTTCCAGCAGTGTTTTCCCTCTTGGCCAGGTTGTGGCGACCTATTTATGGAAGTTGGCCAGATACCAGCAGAGTGGCCTCAGAGTGTATGTGTGTATGTCTGAAAAGACACCCGGTGAATAGTGGGAAATGGTGGCTCTGCGGACGGCTCTTTCAGACTCAATGTGCCCTCCAGGGAGTCCTTGGCATTAACTATCCCTTCACCTTACAGGCACGAACAACTGATGAGGAAGGGCGGCATGTATTCCGACATGTGGCTGCAACAAGGGAGTGAGAAGCCAGGCGGCTTGGATGTGGAGAGCAAGGAGAGTGCAGAGACTGAGAACAAGGCGCAGAGCAAGGAGAACACAGAGGCGGAGAGCAAGGAGGGTGGTACTATCTACAACCAGCCTGCTAGTTCTGAAGCTGCAGCTGAGTCCACAGCTGAGTCCGCCAGCACAGCATCACACCCAAGCACCGGCAGGAGCACCGCCACTTCTGAGTCATAGCCAAGCAAAGGGGTACACTATTGAGCAGCCGACAGGGATGATCCACAGCCCCTGCTGGCTCAAAAGAAGAGGCAGGGACCACCTCTGCCATCCTATTTGTGACTTTTGGTGTCAACAGGGAAGAAGCTGAAGTCCCCAGAGCACATGGCGGCAGATCCACCTTAGAAATGTGCTCCAGGAAACCAGGCATGAAGAAGGCTAGACTGAACAGCTCCCAGTGTTTTCCTTTCTTCATGAGTGGGGTCTGCCCGTAGTGTTAATGTATCCTCCTAGCCGCTGCCAGACATCCAGAGAAGTGTTGCTCCGTGATCCAGGGGTGTTACCAGTGATTACTGGAAGAGGAGACAAGGGCCAGGGCCATCCTGCCCAGCCGTTGTCCTTGCTGAGATGAATTGTGGGAGAGGTGGGGGCATGCAGGAGTGTTGCCAGCCTTTGGTATGCAGCTGCAAAAGATGCCTGGAAAAAGGCTGTGTGTTTTCACAGGTTCTGATGTTGGAATGTCTGTTTTGATTTTCATAAACTCTGTTTTCAGATCCACCCATGGATCCAATGTTTTCCACTGTCGGCTACAATACGACTGACTAGGAGGGATGCTGGATGGTGGTTCATTTTTCCTACTAGTGTGAGGATAGCAAGCAGTGGTTCTCAAAGTAGGTTTCAATACAGGTCACACTAACTTGGGTTGTGGGGCCCAAAAGGCACAGGGGATCCACACACATTGAGTGATTGTTTAAATTTAACATACATGCAATCGGATTCAAGCACACACCCCAGCAAAAAACCTCTAGTATTGGCTAGAAAGGCCAGGGCAGAGGAAGAGAACTGCCCATCTACCTTTCTTCCAGCCCAGCCTGTTTCTTCGGCCTGATGGCTCAGTAAAGCTAACGTGCAGAAGGATGCCGTGTTTATGGCCATCGGTTTCAAGGCCACCCTTGCAGCTTCAGGCATGGAGTTTACAGGAGGGATCCAGTGAATGTAGCTGTAAGAGGAGTCTTGCTGGATCAGACCAAAGCTTTATCTAATCCAGCTTTCTGGGCACCAGGAGGCTGGCCCAAATGTGTGACAAAGGATGGTGCCTAGGGACAGGTTGAGGGCTGTCTCCCGCAGCCCCCTCCCCCAAAATGCAGCAGGGTTGCAGCCCTGCTTAGGCAACTACTCCTCCAGCATGCAAGGCTTTTGAAATAGCAGCAATTTCAAAATGAGCTGAGAACTATGAAGGTGGGGGAGGCAGCACTCCTGCATTACACTGTCATCCTGCAAACAAGCCAATTTGTTGACTTATCTCGGCCTTGGTGCCATCCAAAATGTGTTGGAGTGTAATTCCCATGCTTCTCAGCCAGCATCACTTCTTGGAAACAGGGCAGAAAAATGACTGCATGGCAGAGCTTTAAAGTCAGGGGTCCTTGCTTTCTTCCTTTCCATGATCCAGTTGGTCTGGTGGTTGAGAGCACGGGACTGGGACTCAGGCAACCTGGGTTCTAACTCCTGCTCAGCCATGGAGCCAGCTGGGTGAGTTTGGGCCAGCCTCCTGGGCCGTCACAGACTCTCAGTCCAACCTACCTCACAGGGTGGTCCTTGTGGGGATAAGACTGAGGAGGAGAATGATGGAAGCTGCTTTGAGTTCTTAAGAAAAAAAAGCAGGCTATAAATCTAATAAATAAATGATCCAGACATTGAACCCATTTACCTCCCAGTGCACCTGGAAGGTCTAGCTCCCAGTTTATTCCCATAGAATGAGTCACACTGAGTGCTCATTATAAAATGAAAGCTGCTGCGGGCCATGATTCTCACAGCCACAGAGTGTAGCCAGTCTAGGCCCCAGCCAGTTCTCAGCACGAAGAAAGCCAAGACACAGGGACACAGGCCAGTGAGTCTCTACAGCTATCCATGGATCACTTCTTGGAAACAGAAGAGCAGTGACTCGGAAGCCTGGCATAAAGGTCAGCACTTTTGCTCTGGAAGACGAAGATAGAGAACTTGTGCGATGTCAGGCGAGGAGAACAGTAATGGCCACACTGGCGATGTACCAGATACCAACTAGTGTCCCCCCGCCGCCTTTCTTTCCTCCTGTGCAGGGGGAACAACAGCTGTGTGTCCTTGTGTCCTCCACTGACTTTCCGTTGCAGGCAGGCTTGCGGCTCGCAGCACTTCTCACCCCAGCAATGACGTGCACACGGCAACAGCAGAAGCAACCCAGAGGAGCGGCACTTTATTTCATGGGATTTGTCGTTTCACTGCATGCTCTTGCCCACTTCTTTTTGTCCCCAGAGGGCCTTTCGCTATTTACAGCCAACGAAATGGCAGTTGGGGGGGGGGGGACGCACGGCCTGCTTCTCCAGGTCTAGCACGGAAGAGGGGGAGGAAGCAGCGCTTCTCAGGGCAACGGGGACAGGAGGGCATGTGCTGCGCATTGATGGCACGCTGCCCTATTGGCCCATCCCTGCTTGCCCTCTTCCTGTCCCCCTGGGGGCCATATTCCCAGCAGTGCTATCCCCCTGCGCTGCGTGTGTGTGTGTGTGCGCGCGCACGTGTGCCTGCGGTGGGGAATTCCCTATTTCCACGTGCATACTGTTGGCAGGGCGTTGGGTCAGGATCTTGCTACACCTGGCTTTTTTGGCAGCTGGAGATGGCCTTGGAGAGTCCAGTGCAGCAGCTTACTCCTAAAGGCCTCAGCAGTGTTCAGAACAGTCCCACACGTAGCCCACCGGGGGGCTGCAACAGAGAGAGCCACCCACGGGCTTGGAAGCCGCCTGGGCAGTGGGAGTAGGGGAAGGGTCCACGGCTACAGAGCAAGGCTTTGATCCTCAGGCTCAGTCCTCCTCCTGGGGCAGCTGCTGGTGCCGACTCTGATACCACAGCATGGTGGGCAGGTTCTGGCAGCCCTGGTAGCGACGCTGGCGCTCCTCCTCGCCCAGCGGGGGCACGGAGTGGCAGGGGGCTCCTGCTAGCGTGACGTTGAGCAGCTGGGCTGGGGTACCAGAGGCAAAGACTGCAGACCAAGGGCCCACCTGGAGGAAAGGAGAAGCCGCTTCAGTCTGGATGGCCACTTGGTAAGTCGTAAGCCCGAGGTGAGGAACCACTCTCAGCCAGAGGGCCAAATTCAGTCTTACTGGGCAGGGCCAAGGGCAAAGCACGTAGAGCCAAAACAAAATTCTTGCCACCGGGAACTAAGCTTCGGGAGAAGCATTGCAGCCCTTAGAATGTGCAAGTGGGGACTGCACGAAAGCCGGCCAAATGTCCAAGAACTGCTGGTTGGGGCCTTCTGGGGAACTCGGGAAGGCTGGATTTGGTTTTCAGCCTGGAAGAGCCACACCCCTGACATAAGCATTTATACAGCCCTTTAAGGTGTCTGAAGTGCTTCAACTATAACGTGCTTGGTGATCTGTACAATTACCCTGTAAAGTTGGCCAGCAAAATAAAACAGATTAAACCAGGCTTGCAATTTCTTATCTGCTCTAAAAAGTGCAGATTTTAAATGGAATTACATTAGGTTCTGTTCCACTTGAAATCAATGAGAATAGTTAGACCTTATTTGAGTTGTACTCATTTCAATGGGAATTGGGGACAACTAACTTAATCTGTATCCGATTGATGGATTGCAAATATCTGTTCCAACTACTTCAGATGGCACCACCTTTTTTTCCTATTGACAACAGTGTACTTTCCAAGCAGTCAAACTAGTGAAGCACAAAGTAATGAAACTCAAGTTTTTTCCTGCCCAAGGATTCACAGTGCACATCAAAAGGCAACTTTGCCGCACATTTCCACAGGCTTTGCATATTTTCACTGCAGCTGAACCATGTGCACATTTTAAAAAGCATTCATTTCCTCAAAGTCAGCAGTGGCCATGTGGCAACTTCAGTGTGTCTCATGAAACCGTCTGTAGCTAAGCATTTCTCTGTATTGTTGCTTTCCAGCAACTTTCCCGAGAGGTCGTTTTTGCCCTACACAGCACTTCAGCGGCTGAAAACTAGCCAGGCAGGGAGATCAGAAGACGGCTCAGCTGCGTAAGCAGCAGCTCTGTGCATCGCACGTGCTGCAGCTGCGTTCACCGCTTCTGGCCCTGAAGACACCGTGCCCGGCCTCCTCCTGCCTTTGAACTGAAGCGGCACCTGTTGCTCAGGCCACATGCCAAACCTCAATGTTAGGACAAGGGCCTCCTACGCACTATTTTGGGGACCCTGGTATTGTGATCAAAATGAACAAGCCGCGTTGGGGTCGCTTTAGGAGCGATAGCTCATTAGCAGAGCGATGCTTGGCACACAGATGGCCCTGGGTTCAACCCTGATACTTCCAGCTAAAAGCAGGGTTAGGGTTAGGATTGGGCAGTGCCTGCCGGTCAGTGCAGACAAGACTGGGCTACATGGACAGTCCAAGCTAGTATAAAGTGGCCTCTTCAGTTACGAAGAGCTCCTAACTTGGCACCCTCTAAAGCCAGGGCCCTTGAGAATCATCATGCTGCTTCCCCTGGCTGGTTTTGCTCCTCATGACACTTACCGGCAAGATATGCTGAAGCAGACACTGGTCAGGCTGTAGCCCGGCCCAGAATTCGGCAAACGCTGACCCACCACTGGCGGTGGTGGCAGTGCTGCGCACCAGCACCACATTGGGATGGCGTCGTGATGCCCGCAGCTTCTTTGCCAGCGGGCCCGAATAGCTCTGGTCCAAAAAGAGGAAGACTCTGCGGGCATTGCAGTTCTCCAAATCAGCCAGGAGCTCAGAGATGGGGTACCGCTCCTTAGGATCTGCCTATTGTGGGGGGAAAGGCCAGCTCATTAGCACCTGCCCCTTTGTCACGGCCCCTTCCCTGCAATGCTGCAGTTCAGAGATCAAGGGAATTCCACTGCCTGGGAGTTAAAAGAGAAGGATTAAGTGGGAAAGAGCAAGCCAGGGCCAGCACCCACTGCAGAAACCAGTGTGGTTTTCTCCCCACAGGCACACATGAAAGGACTGGACGGGCCTTTGAAGAAAACCGATGGAGGGGGCTGGAGCCTCCACCTGCAATTCCATCCTCATCAGTCTTTTGTCTCCCAGTTGGACTGTCCAGGACATGCTGGGACAGGTGGGGTGACCCCTCCCCTCTCTCTGCAAGAGGAGTTCAGTTCGTTCTCTATTTGCACTCAGTGCAATTTGGTCACTTGCAGATGGACAAACGCAGGCCAAGAAAGGGCCTTTTAGGAGGGCTGTCACTGCTTGGTGTACCTTTGGGAGCAGCCCAACATTTTCTTCTCCTTCTCTGGCCATCGAATGAACTTGATTGCTGGCTGCAGGTGTGAGAGGAGGCAAAGCCACCGCGGCACCCGCCCCAAACTGTGAGCCTTTCCTGGGCCTCATTTTCACTTGGGAATCAGTATATAATTCAGATTCCATACTGAATATTTTGTGCCTGCTATGTATGCTCCACAGTTGTACACAAGGGCAGGAGAATGGGGGACAAGATGACCTCCTCACCTCACCACACCCTACTTGGATTGTGCCCCCCCCCCCACACACACACAGACAGACACACATTCAGTAGCCTCAGGACAGTCCAACAA